CCTGGATAAGGCGGAATGCAGTCCTTCAGCCCAGCACATCTTCTGTCGTAGCGGACTGACAGGATCCAAGGAGGTCAGCTTTGCCAAGAAGAAGGTCTTTGACATCCACAAGTACTTCCTTGACTACGTGGGCAACACACATTTCCTGCAGGTCGTCAAGGAGGACAGTGATGCCTATGTCTATCTCCTTGGGGACATGAAACATGGGTCTGTGTCTCACATGGTAACCCACGTGGTAGCTTGGCGACCCATCAGTGGTGACGACACTTCATCTCAGTCTGTTTCCGTGAACCTACGAGCTCAGCCCAAGTCGGCCAAATACATCACCCCTGATGGTCTGACCACGGCCCCAACACCATCGTCCAGCGGTGGACGCTGGGTGGTCAGTCTCAAGTCTGAACCTATTATAGTGGAGGTCAACAGCTTTGCTGTGGCTGGGGGAGTCAGTCCTGTTGGGTAAACTTACAAACAATTAAATAATTGATACCGCGAATTGAATGTTTCAGGAAAATGTCATCATTTGATGTTGTGTAGCAAGATAATTTAATAAAACCATCACAATTAAAGCCTGCTAGCACTTTTCAAGTCGAATTAGAAAAATAAGTTTGCAACAGATGTAAATCATAACATAAAATATCTTAATCATCTTTCACCAGTAAGTGAAAACAAATTGCCTGTGCGAATTTCACAGTTAATGGAAAAATTATTTATCATATGCTAAAAATATGTAGCTGGGAAGGAAGGTATTTATCTACTCATTTATACATTGTTGCATGCATAGGTACAGGAAATGTGCTGAAAACGAAAGTGATGACATCTTGGTCTTGATTTATTTTCTATCTTGATGCCTATCTGGCGTTTTCGTTGTTGAATATTTCTGAGAAATAATTCTATCCGATCAAAATGAATTTATATACGTAGAGAAACAAAACAAGGAACACAGGCAAATTCAAGTGTTCCTTTAATATTTTCTAATTTTCATCACCAGCTTTGAATAGTGCTGATGTGATGAAAACTGGAAAATAATAAAGGAACTTGAGTTTTCCTGTGTTCCTTTATTTGTTTCTCTACGTATATAAGGGGTTGCGTGTAAGATTACTCTGGTTTTAAACCCACGCGGCCATACAGTCATAAAATAAGACAAACTTGAACATTTAATAAACGTCGATGATTTTATGATGAAGATGGTCATTCTGTAAACACACTCTATTGCCATTTAATATTAAGCACTGTTTGGCGCTGATTTCCATATCTTTCGAACGAATCGTTGTCTGCACTGGTCTGACCACACTCCCAAGACTGACTGACTGAGTTTGGTTTTACACCGCTTTTAGCAATATTCCAGCAACATCACGGCGGGGGGACACCAGAAATGGGCTTCACACATTGTGCCCATGTGTGGATTCGAACCCGGGGTCTTCGGCGTGACGAGCCAACGCTTTAACCATTAGGTTACCCCACCGCCCCACACTCCCAAGAAGGTAGGTCAGAAGCCCGGACTCCTACTAGCATGGCAGACACACGCTAAGGGAAACTGCCAAATACAGTAGAACCTGCCTGCATATAACTCAGGATATGGAATAATTCGGCATTCTCCTGATGGAGTGCAATGCAAATAAGTCTCCCGACTAAACGCTCCCAACAATGAGAAGGATTTCCATAAGGGTTTCCTGTCTTGCAGAATATATACTTGTCAGTATTTGTCAGAAGCACTTTTGACAAAATAAACGGTATAAGTATTTCAATTTTCATAATCATATAAAATGTAATAAGATAAATCTTTAAATGCATGTTCATTGTTGGTATCCCACACTGACTCCTAGCATATTCAAGCTAGGAGTGTTCCTACATTTCTATGACATTATCTTCTAATGTCTTTATCAGCATATTCTTTGTGATCGTTACTAATATACTCTTAAATCTTGAATGTAATTAGTAAATCTTGTGATCCATTTCTAAAATATGTAAAATAAAGGTTTTAGTCATGTTTCTGAACACTACATGTATAATATGCTGGTGTTAAAAAAATACAATGTGACGGGATCATGTAAATAGTATGGGAAGTGCCACCTGTTTTATAGACCAGATAAGATTCAAGACATTTGTATGGACTTAACCCAGATTTTGGGTGTGGCAAGTCCACACAAGCCATTTTCCTAAATCCAGGCCAGTCGTATCCATATACAAAGATTAGGTCCCATTGGCCCCAAAAAATGATAAGCAATTGAATCAACAAAATCAGGATTGGGGATTATAGGTCAGATAATGTGTATGCGATAGTATCAGACGGGTTTGATAAGACATGAATTTCACATGATCAGCAGACAAATGCATTTGGTAAGCGTCTTGTTGACATGAGCAAACAGATTTTACGGGCTTGGGGCACAATGGATGCAGTGCCACAGACTGTTAATGTATTTATGTAATCGTTAATTCTACCATGGCTACGTGAAATGCGCGAATGTGACTGGTCAATCCATAAAATCAGACGGTATCAATTTGGATTGAAAATGCGTCTGATTTCACGGCGCTTCACTGCGCACGTATACAACACTGCCGCACTACTTCAGCTTGGCCACCAACATGACTAATATCAACACAACAGACGCGTTCGGCTTCAAATGAAATTTAGAGACTATCAATTCGGTCTAACATTCATCTAATTTCCAAACACAGTACGTTTATCTCCTAAATATACCAATAACTTTCGAAATTACCTGTATCAGAATATCTTAATCTCACTGTTACCTTCATTTACCTCAAAATGTTTGCATCCTGACTGTTGGCTTGTTTGTAAAGCACTCAGATATTCCAGTCTGTCAATAATCGAGTCTGGACTACACAGTCCAGCGATTAACATGAGCATGGATCAACGCAATTTGGATACGATGACGTTACCACTCAATCCCGCTAGTCGCCCCTTACGGTAAGCATGGGTTGGTAGACATCACTTCTGACCTGGGTCTTCAAGGGAACTGATCAAATGCAGTGATCAGCCACATGGAAAGCTGGGATTTGGATCTACCACTAGAAGGTCGTTGCTGGGTTGATCGCCATTGCTTCCATGGTTTGTACCCTTGGCCTGGTCCCAGCCAGACAGAATACAGTGACTTCTCTGACCAATGACTTATAAGATTACATCGCAGAAAGGGCGATATTTCTCCTGTGATTTGTGCCACAGCCTATGGTCATCTACTCCACATACTGCCTTTATATAAGTCGGTAGTGGTGGGATATACATCAAGTCGTTGCAAGGTTTGATTTGTTTGTAGTGTAAAGGTGATCTGAGCAATATCCCAGCTATATGGCATCAGTCTGTAAATAATCGAGTCTGCACCAGGAAATCCAGTGATCGACATCATAAGCATCGATCCAAGCAATTGGGAACTGATGACATGTGTCAACCATGCCAGCGATCCTGACTACCCGATCCCGTTAGTCGCCTCTTACGACAAGTTTGGGTTGCCAAAGACCACTTCTAACCCGGATCTTCACGGGTCCATGCAAAGAGACCGGCTAATTGACGCGTTGTTTGACAACAGACATACCTCATAAGTTATGGTGGCATTGTTTCAACGAGTTATAGTTGAGCTCTAAGCAGTAATCATTTTATTATCAAACTCTCAAAATCTAATGGTCCACCCTCAGGCTTCTCAGCATTTTGAAACAATGTATGTACGGCTGCCAGTGTCTGCAAATTCAGCAATTCAGCAATTCATCTGAACAAATCAGATTTAAGGGGGTCGCCCATTTTGTTCTTTGGAGATAGCGAGAGTAATCAATGTTGTATACATACACTGGTCATCAATTTTGTACATAAAAATATTGAAACTCATGCTTAAAAATTATGGGGAGGGTGTCATTGATTTTGTACATGACATGTGGTGTGTGTGTGTGTGTGTGTGTGTGTGTGTGTGTGTGTGTGTGTGTGTGTGTGTGTGTGTGTGTGTGTGTGTGTGTGTTTGGATTCACACTGTACATGCTACTCCATAAAAATCATCATTACCACCCCTAGCAATGAATTATGAATGGTTCCTAAACAAAACCCATTAACTCACACAACTAAATCCATAATAAACATATACCACAGAAGTTAAAAACAAATTTAATAAGATCTATGACACATTTTCTGAGAAGTTAACTCCAAACAAACAGTAATTCATTTGACAGAAAACTGTTCTTTCAAATAACAATACTTGCACACACTAACATCAATAACCTGTCTTTGACAGCATGCTTCATACAAACACGGTGTTATAATGGTTATAAGTATTGAATAGAATTGCACATGTTTGAGGTTCAGATGACCACACCTATAAACATTCCTATACAGATAAAGGACAAATACCTGTATAGAAACCAGGGCCTAGATTTTCGAAGCTCTCTTAGCGCTAAGATAGTCGTAAGTGCCATGCATTAACTTACGACTATCTTAGCCCTAAGAGACTTTCGAAAATCTAGGCCCAGCACCAGAGCAACATCTGTGTTCTTGAATTGCTGGTACTAGGGCTGCAACGAATCCACTGAGGGAATATGATACTTGACAAATATTGGGTAACGAATATTGGGTAACAAATTCCATAAGTCGTATGTTGATGTATTTTTCATAATATTCAGTAAAACAATGACAAAAATACATTCCTTGACTTATTTTGATCATGTTGACAGTATTAACTAATCACAACATGTCCATATTTCTGTCAAATTAAACATAGTAAGAGCGTTGACTATTATCCGGTCTGACTTGGACATATTAGAATAGACTATTATCCTGTCTGACTTGGATTAGGGAATAGACTATTATCCTGTCTGACTTGGACATTTGATGAAATATCACATAAATTCAATTAAAAACACTTTATGAAAGTTCATGAATATTTAATTCTAGTGATCATGAATAACAGTTAAATGCCTCAAAGATACGGTTTGATTCATGGAATACGCAAGAGAATCTTGAAAACCCTAGCTGGTACCTATATGACTTGTGTGCCTTCCAGAAACCATCTACACAGAAACACACTCACAGTATCACAGATACAACATTAGTCCAGCTGCCAAGTGACGTGAAACTCTGGCTGCTGAAAACAGTTATCATACAACCACTTGTAATAAAACAGCTGGTGAAATCAGTATCACAAATTACTGTACCGTAGACGTCCTCAATCTCAAATGTCACATCTCGTACATGTCTGTCCCTTTGCAGGGGGCTTGTAATGCCAAAAAAACGCAAAAGGATCCTTTTATATACTGCAAAACCCCTATCAGTGACAGTATATACCTTTATGCACATTTTTTGCGTCAAAGCCTCTGTGCGTCTCATCAGGCTTGAGATAGAGGAAGTCTACTACAGTTCCATATATAACATTTCACCTGGATCTGGATTCAGATCACCTGGGATTTGGACACCATCTGCACTCCTGAACATCCACCATGGACTTTGGTGTTGCCTGTTCCGAGGATCTGACACTTCAGCCACACCTGAATGTCAACCAATAAGGTCTGTACCAAGAGTAAAGACTCCAACTGCAGACCAGAACCCTCACCATGAACCTTGGTGTAAGGATCTGACTCTTCCGTCCACACCTGAATGTCAACCAATAAGGTCTGTACCAAGAGTAAAGACTCCATCTGCAGACCAGAACCCTCACACCATGAACCTTGGTGTTGTGTTGTCCTGAGGATCTTGACTCTTCCATCCACACCTGAATGTCAACCACTAAGGCTTGTACCAAGAGTGAAGACTCCATCTGCAGACCAGGGTGCCGTTGTACAAAACAACCTTAGCGCTAAGGTTACCTTAAGTCTATGTTAAGGAAATGGGAGTTACGGTCACCTTAGCACAAAGATCGCTTTGTACAACGGCACCCTGAACCCTCACACCATGAACCTTGGTGTTGTGTTGTCCTGAGGATCTTGACTCTTCCTTACACACCTAATTGGCATCCACTGATGTCAGGACTCCATCTGACACACCTGAACGTCCATTCCCGTTTCTTTGTGGAGTCGTTCACACAGAACCCTCCGGCGCTCATCCTCCTTCATGTCCGCCAGCTCATTTACCTCGTGGGGGTGGAGCTGCAAGAGAAACAACTGCTGTGATGCCTGAGATATAACAAGAACACAAGTGTTCCTTTATCCTAAGTTTCAGTTCTATCTCAACAGCCTGTCGATAGTCACATGACAGCATAAAAAAATTACTCTGATTATTGTAGTACGACAGGACCCAATCAGCCGAGTGAGTAAGAGAGAGAGGGGGGGAGAGGGAGAGAAAGAAAGTGTGCTAGTTATATCACAGTGTGTCAGCTACATGTGAGAATAACAAAGGTTTCACTTACGAGAGATTCAGGAGTTCAGGTACGGTGCTGCCAAGCCTAGGTACAGGTGAATTGGGATTTGGACCAACAATCTGACCAAGAATCCCACAGCTAGTCCATTGTGCATAATGTCCTTACCATAATTACTTTGTATCCGAGTTGGTTCAGATTTCTCATTTTGGTCTGGTTGTGCCCATTCAGTTTGACATGGTGTGCCTGGTTACTGCTGGTGACTGGCAAACCCTTGAGAGTGGTGGCATCAAGAGAGAGGCTGTCTGACGAGAGGAACTGTCGAATACTCCCAAGCTCTATGGCGATCCTGTAAACAAAAAATATTCATGACCGCTGAGTGAATGAGTGAGTGAGTTTAGTTTTATGCCACACTCAGCAATATTCCAGCTATATGGCGGTGGTCTGTAAATAATTGAGTCTGGACCTGACAATCCAGTGATCAACACCATGAGCATCGATCTACGCAATAGGGATACGTCATGACCACTGTGTCCTATATTACCATACACTGCAGAAACATTCCAAGACGAGTGCATTAATATGGTCTAATCAGCTTTTATCATTATTCCAGCTATATCCACGTTGAAATGGGTTTCAAACACTGTATCCATGTTGGAAATCAAACTCAAGTCTTTCCGTGTGGTGAGCAAAAGCTTTAGCCACTTGGCCACCCACCACTCTGTAGCATAAGAGAGATTCCACTCACTTGTGTTGTGTTACACTAGGCTCACTGCCATGCTTGGTGTCAAGGGGTTGCACATTCCAAGGGTCTTGATTGTCATAGTCCCCTGTCTTTATTGGATGATTTGAGGCATCAAGTCTCAGTTCAATATCTGAAAGGTGATTATTACCATTACACAAAATCTGTAGTATTTATATACATGACCAAGTATCTGTAACTGCTTTATCTCTGACTCCAATCTCTCAAAGCATCATGCTTCTATACAATTATCATGTGCATCAGTTACAAAACTTGCCAAGACCAGTTATAAAGTGATAGAGATGGAGAAAGTCAGTACCACAAAATGCAGTCTCACAGTCCCTGAACCACGTTATTTTCCATACTGCCTAGCCCTCCCTGCAATGCTAAAGCCCTAAATGAAGCAGTCTAGATTTCCTCAGATCTCCCATCTCAGTGGGGCTTCTTTTCAATTTAAATGGATTTATTTGTTATCATCAAAATTATATACATACATTCAACACTATGCGTTAGTACACAAAATGGTGAACCGACACAATAATTCCATCTACAAGTAGTTTCTGAAGGTTGAGTAATAATTCAGCTTCTCTAAAGGTGATACCATTATTCTGGGTAGACAACATTCTAGGTTGATGTCTGACTCTGTGATGTTCTTACTTGCACTTCTGTAGTGTGGCAGGATATAGTCCGCCTTGACTCGATCTGCACCCAGCATGTTGGCCAGTGACTTGTGTATTTCCTTGAAGCCTCTGCGAATATTTATCTCCTGCTGGAAGTTTCTCCAACCCTGGGCATTAAACTCCTGAGCCACGTTCTGCAGAGAGATCAATACAACACAGAATAAAACATCAACACATTAAGTAGTGATTATAGCAGTAATAGATTCCATCCTCTCATTGTCAGGTGAGAGCTTGTTCATCCTGTTCATTTTTATGTTCCTGAAATATCAAATCCAGAACAATCGCCCTTACTTGGGCATATTTCATGACTATTGTGACCAATAAATTAGGGAAGAAAACGCACCCTAAGACACTATTCAAAGCCCTAAGAGTATAAAATGAAATAGAAAGGAATGCAAAGGGAGGTAACTGTGGTGCATATAAGTATGAATGTGGTAAAATCATTATTCCAGGATGTTGAGACTGACCCAAGCCTGCTGCAACCCGGCATAGTCAGGGCACTCGATCAACACAATGTTGCTCACTAGGCGAAGCTGCAGTTCTTTTGACCGTCTGGGACCTGAAATGTGACAACAAAAAAGTCAGACAAGGACAAAACACACAATCAGTTATACTCTAACCATGGAAGGTTCCACTACACTAAATCAGTATCACATGCTCCCTGAGCGAAAGCCATTGAAAAAACAAGTGAAGAGAGACAGAGACATGTGACAGCTGTGATTGGATGAAATAGTGTAAGATGTTTATGTTTGTTAATAGCACATCCAACCAGTAATTAAAACTGACCACAATTTTAAGTATTTAGTGCTGTCATATTTATCACCATCACTTAAGATTATTGTGTGTACAGATATTTTCCAGAAGGTGACATTTGGTGCAGAACTGGGGTTGATGTGTTCGCTTCCTGTGCTCGCAAAACGAGCCGGACAAGTTGGCCTGATATTTTGTTTTATGGTAGTTTAAAGGCCAGAGTGTACCCATGTGTACATGGAATGGCTGTTGATAGTCTGGATATTTTTAAAAAAAATATAAGGTTACTATAGAAGTCTATGGGAAAACATTTGGTGGTGTGTAACCCGTAAACAGGCTTGATCAATGTTGTAATGACAAACAACTAAACTGCTACCTTTCAAGTGGAATGTGCACAAGTCAAGTGGTCTTAGCACTTAGGTGATCATAACTCCAATACTTTCACTTGCGCTCATCATCACAGCCCTGAGGTCCCAACAAACTTGGGACATGATCAGGGCTGACACGTAAGGCAGGGTTTTACACAGACTTTTAAAAATGGGAGTCATGGTGACTCACAATATTTATTTTGGGGAGTCATTTTCAATATTTGGGAGTCATGAAAATTGTAATATATCTTTGTGTTAATCATTCTCAGTATGTAACTATGCATTTCACACCCCCCAAATTAAACTACAGTATAGTTCAGTTCACACAGCCAGGATTACTGTCTCCTCTCTGGTCTCTGGAACAATCTGACAGCTCTGTAAAAGTCAAACTATCTTCGAGCAATATCATTTTTTGCTTATCATATCGATTTTATTGAACTGAATTGTGAGGACCACCTATAAAACTTGCGTCAAGCTTGACTCATATGATAGTATTTTGAGAGTCTTTAACATAATTGTTGCGTCAAATACGCAGGAATCACGCGTCATGTAAAACCCTGGTAAGGGATGCAACTCTGTACAGCAATGATACCTTAAACATCACCACTTTGTTCACCTGACCGCCTCTGTTGTGTAGTGGTTAGAGCCCCAACCGCGTCATACCAAAAGACGTTAACATATGGTACTTGTTGGTCCCTGCCTGGCGCTCGGCATTAATGGGTACAACAAGGACTGGTCGGCTCGGAGTCAGTATAATGTGTCTGAGTGGGGTATTCATGCTTCACTGCGGCATGGTATCTCAGTGGGCTAGCACTATAAAACCAGCCTAAGTCTGGGCTAGTACAAGCAGCCGCACATACACACGCATGCACGTCATGATATGAGCGAAATATTCTCAAGCACGATGTTAAACCCAATTTCATCTCACCTCACTTAGTTCACCCAAATATGTGTGAATCATTGTTCAATGATAGCTTCTCATGCCCTACAAGTACAAATAAGCAAGATCAGAAATCTCTACTGAACTAAAATAGTAGGTAAACTAAATGCAGTACATTCAAGGATCAGTTTCATCATGATTCCAAAAATCAAAACTGTAATGTATGATAAGTGGACTGTAGATAGACAAGGTACATTAATGCACAGTCTCTCCATGATAAACATGGCAACACTGCAGTCTTTCCGGGGTCTACCAATGTCTACAAGTCTAAAAATACTGAAAGTCTCAAAACCTAACTTATCAGCCTGCTTCAGATTCACTCTCTTCACTATAAACCTGTTTTTTCCAAACAATTGGATTCTGCAAAGGTAACCAAAAAAGTACACCGAAAATGCAGATAAGGCAAATATTATGAAGGGAGGTAACTCTAATGTCGCTACTTCCATCAGTTTTGGGTATCAGCTTTATTTTTTATAGTCTTTTTGATCTAGAGAGAGTGGAGAATTTTCTTCTATTACGGTCAACTAAGATGAGCACACATAAACGTGACAACAACATTGTTAAAATTTCAGTAGCCAGTGGGAAAGGGACATTTTTCGTCCTACTAAAATAGCAGAGCAGACGGCTATTCCACACACACATGACTACCAGCTGCAAATATATAAGCATTGTTTATCATGGCACAACAGACATATACAACATCTCAGATTATAATTACGTCGCCACACATGACATCCCACCTTTTAAGAGGTTGACCTTTTCCGGGTGAAACAGCATATCCAGCATGTCTGTTGGGAGTATTCCGAGGTAGGACAAGCCGTGCAACATGTCTGCCAGAGATTCAGGGTGGGTTCGTTCTTCTTCGAAACGTTTGTAAGCTTCCACAAGTTTCATGTAGGTCATCTTCTCACTGACTGGTTCATGACATAACATCCCCATTGCCTTCACAAACTGAGCGATGTCTTTAGATCTAGGCTTCACCTTTAAGTCACTGTGTGTACAAAGTCTAACAAATGCGGACATCAAAGACTGGGTCAGTGGTTTGTGATACACAGACGCTGATGCATAAAAAGATGCAATATGCATCAAAACTGAAGGATTAATTGTTGTTTCAATGAACGAAACAGTCAGTATTTTGTCTGCAAAGTTTTGAAAGAAACTGAATTTAAAAAAGCTTGAATGGGACAGCACTTTGGTTATATTTATCAACATATTTTTTTCCACAAATTCAAGTTGATCTACTAGTCTTTGACTGATTCTATCAAGTAGCTCGTAAGACAATATTCGCACATTGCCTCGAAAAAATCCTAGACAAATTAATCCTATATCATTGATGTGTAACAATTCAAGATTATTTGACAAATAATCTTCGACTTTTTTAAAAAGCATTGATGGTGCTCTCCCATGGAAATACACAAAGTACATTAAATGGACAACAGTTTTGGGAGGATAAGCACTGAAGTCTGCATGCAGTGCATAGTCAAACAGTCTGGGCAGAAACATTACTTCCATGTAATTATGAGAAACATATAGATCTGCAACTTGTAACGACTTGTCGAGCCCGATATCACTGATACGAGTGCTGAATCCCTTCTCCACACCATGTCCACCTGACAAAGTTTTCTTCAAATCTTGAATTTCACTGTTCCATTCCTTTTCAGTCACTGTATTCATGGATGTCGCATTTAATGTTTTGTTCATATCTGCCATTATTGATCGTCTCTTCATAAATGTTAATATTTTGTTGGCCACTCGGAAAGGTACTGGGTTCCTCTCAAACCTGTCATTCCCTGTGCGCTGCTTGTTAGACACTGAGGCATGTCTAAGACTAGGTGAACAGATGTTGGTAGGAAACAGACCCCTGCTGGTCACCCTGGTGATGTTCCTTAGTGCCAACATACTGCAGGAGTTGATGTCTACAACAGGTGCACAGGACTACTGCTGCAGGCTTGTTCTGCAATGCTGAAAAGAAATGTCGGAATAAAACAATAACTATGTTTTACACGCTGAACACTTAGGAAAAATATACTGGACATTTTGAAAAAGAAAAGATAGATTAAGGCCAACTGTCAGTCTAGGTATTTAACTCAGATTCTAAACTAATTGCTCTTGAAAGGCATATTTGAAAAAAAATCATTGTTTGTGTGAAATTGGGAATGGGTTTATGGGTCTCTTTTTCATAAAGTACTTAACACTGCGTTCAGTGCAAAAATGCAAAATAAAATGAACACATCTTCCCCTTTATGTGAACAGTTATCAGAGATATAACAACTACCTCTATGAAACTATCACTGACATGGAATTCGAAATTTTTCAAATCCAATTTTGCAATTTCTTTTTAGATTTGCTGCAGGCTTGGGGCTGAATATTGGCCTTGGAGCATGTCTTGGTAAATCCTTACAGACACTGTTCTATTATTTGACTCAAATATGTTTTGGTTGGGCTGCTAAATCCAGCTGATATCTGTTTTCAATAAAGTAACACTGAATAACTTTCGCATTCATCTAAGTTTAAGGTCCTGATTGGGTGAACAATTTATTATGAAACAATTAAATACTTATTGTCACATTCTTATCCTAAAAGATTAACATAAAGTGTCAACAAAAAATGTGTAAACTAAAACTTTCCTATTAGTTGTAATGATACCATGCTTGTATAAGACTTGATCTAAAAACACGACAGAATTTGGAACAATATCTCGCTTCAGACACACTGCATAGAGATATTTGCATAGACATATTTCATGTGTTAGGTTAAACTTGATATCTTGTCCTCTCAGTGGGACTTCAATTATTTCTTTTTAGAATCCTTGAATGAATATGTGGTGCAAAGCAATATTCATTCATTGGTTCTTTTCAAGTGGGATTTTGGTTAGTTTTTTTACCGACCAAGACCCATCCCCCACCCCACACACATCAGTAAATTAACTTTAAAAAAATAACCATTGAATGAAAGCCCCAAATCTTAGACTACTACCCAGATAGCAAAGGTGTGTTGGGCCAATGTTGGTATATGGTTGGTTGGTTGGCCAACAGTTTGACAACATTGGCCCAACGTTATCTTAATGACTTAAAAGTAGCGGTGGCTTTTGACACGTTGGTCCAACAGTGGGCCAACATTTGAAAAACTCAGCCTATTTTCCCTGATCTTACATCTATTTCACAAAGTTGGGCCACCGTTGCCCCAACATTGTGAATAAAAGAGTGAGCACACGGCCATTTTTAGCCATGTTTTCTTATAAAGATTTTGATGAAAGTTGAAATAATTACACAGACAAAAAGAAAGAATCCATTTCCCTGTCTTTCAACTATGATGTAGGGCTTCCACGGGTACTCGAGTACTCGAGGACGAGTCGGGTTTAGCTGGACTCGAGTCCATTTTCAAGGACTCGAGGACTCGAAAAGAGGAGATAACTCGAATTATTGACGTTGACAGACTGCCTGCCATGTGCTAAGCAAGAGTGGCCGTTAACGTCTAATATTAAGATAAGATATAACTTTATTATCCCGGAGGAAATTCTTATACATCCAACTGTCTCAATATGAATATGTACACAGTTCACAAAAATATACACAATAATTACATGCTCAAAACGAATGCTATTTACACAATAAAACTGACATGATATAATTCAATTAACCACATAGGTAAAGAGGCTGAATAATTCTAGTTGTAATCACGGGATGGTGATTAAAAAATATGTGTTGTATTCACGAATACTTGATGGTATGAAAGACTGTCGAACTCTGTTTTGAGGGAAGGTAATCGACAGCAGCGTCCAGAAGGAAGTAGTTCAAAATGGTGAGATTAAATATGTCAACTATCAAATCTAATTTTAGTTGCCTTTGTGACAATCTGGCGCTCAGAGATAAAGGGAATATACTTGAAAGACACCCCAGAGAGTTTGCATGCAGTATTAACAATTTTGAAAAGCTTGTTTTTGTTGCAATGAGACAGACCCCCATACCAACATAGAAAATTGAATTACGGTTTTGTCAATGCCTTGACGATAATAATGTTCAGAATCGGAAATTAGGCCAGTACAGTGGCGTCATCTGCGAATTTCACAGTAAACACATCATATATTGACAAGTAACAGTCATTGGTATACAAAACGAAGAGTACGGATGAAGGAACACAGCCATTTGGTTCTGCAGTAGAGGTTGAGAGAAAAGAAGATTGATAGCCATTTACACTGACATACTGAGTTCTATGTACCCTGAATTCTTAAACCCATCTGATAATGTTTTTATTAACACCTAGATTAAATAGTTTACTCCTCATAAGGTGTGGCTGTATGGTATTAGTTGTTACAAGTCTGCAGATGAGAGTAAATATTATACATCGTTTGAAATTTCACTTCTTAAAATGATAAGGTAACTATCTTGACAATTGATAGACATGGAGAAAGATAAAAAAAATCAAATGTATGGGCGCATCTTGATCTGGATAGAGAAAAAGAGAAAATAACCAAATGCAGCTGTGCTGCATCTCACTCGCTTTGCATGCAGTACAAGAAGTACGATGAAAACAACAAGTGTCAAGTAAACATCCAAATACTGATTCTGACCAGTGGGAAATGTTAGTCACATAACGATATATAGTCGGAATGAAGTAAGTGTTCACTTGTGAAGACAATATTAAGCATTTGCCTCGAAAAATCCTAGACAAATTAATCCTATATCATTGATGTGTAACAATTCCAGATTATTTGACAAATAATCTTCGACTTTTTTAAAAAGCATTGATGGTGCTCTCCCATGGAAATACACAAAGTACATTAAATGGACAACAGTTTTGGGAGGATAAGCACTGAAGTCTGCATGCAGTGCATAATCAAACAGTCTGGGCAGAAACATTACTTCCATGTAATTATGAGAAACATATAGATCTGCAACTTGTAACGACTTGTCAAGCCCGATTTCACCGATACGAGTGCTAAATCCCTTCTCCACACCATGTCCACCTGACAAGGTTTTCTTCAAATCTTGAATTTCACTGTTCCATTCCTTTTCGGTCACTGTATTCATGGATGTCGCATTTAATGTTTTGTTCATATCTGCCATTATTGATCGTCTCTTCATAAATGTTAATATTTTGTTGGCCCTTTCGGAAGGTACTGGGTTCCTCTCAAACCTGTCATTCCCTGTCGCTGCTTGTTAGACACTGAGGCATGTCTAAGACTAGGTGAACAGATGTTGGTAGGAAACAGACCCCTGCTGGTCACCCTGGTGATGTTCCTTAGTGCCAACATACTGCAGGAGTTGATGTCTACAACAGGTGCACAGGACTACTGCTGCAGGCTTGTTCTGCAATGCTGAAAAGAAATGTTGGAATAAAACAATAACTATGTTATACACGCTGAACACTTAGGAAAAAATATACTGGACATTTTGAAAGAAAAAGATAGATTAAGGCCAACTGTCAGTCTAGGAATTTAATTCGGATTCTAAACTAATTGCTCTTGAAAGGCATATTTGAACAAAATCATTGTTTGTGTGAAAGTGGGAATGGGTTTATGGTTCTCTTTTTCATAAAGTACTTAACACTGCGTTCAGTGCAAAAATGCAAAATAAAAATGAACACATCTTCCCCTTTATGTGACAGTTATCAGAGATATAACAATTACCTCTATGAAACTATCACTGACATGGAATTCGAAATTTTTCAAATCCAATTTTGCAATTTCTTTTTAGATTTTCTGCAGGCTTGGGGCTGAATATTGGCCTTGGAGCATGTCTTGGTAAATCCTTACAGACATTGTTCTATCATTTGACTCAAATATGTTTTGGTTGGGCTTCTACATCCACCTGATATCTCTTTTCAATAAAGTATCACTGAATAACTTCAGCGTTCATCTAAGTTTAAGAAAGTCCTGATTGGGTGTACAATTTATCATGAAACAATTTAATAATTATTGTCACATTCTTATCCTAAAAGATTAACATAAAGTGTCAACAAAAAATGTGTAAACTAAAACTTTACTGTTAGTTGTAATGATACCATGCTTGTATAAGACTTGATCTAAAAACACGACAGAATTTGGAACAATATCTTTTCAGACACACTGCATTGAGATATTTGCATAGACATATTTCACGTGTTAGGTTAAACTTGATAACTTGTCCTCTCAGTGGGGCTTCAATTATTTCTTTTTAGAATCCTTGAATGAATATGTGGTGCAAAGCAATATTCATTCATTGGTTCTTTTCAAGTGGGATTTTGGTTAGTTTTTATACCGACCAAGACCCATCCCCCACACACATCAGTAAAGTAACTTTAAAAAAATAACCATTGAATGAAAGCTCCAAATGTTAGACTACTAGTACCCCCACAAGAACCTTTCATTGAGTTGTGAATCACATTGCATTGCAATTTTCATAAGGATCAGTATCGTGTCAGTGTTTAATCACGCCCCAGTTTCAGCAGACACCAATTAAACGACATGCCTCTGTCTCAACATCGACGCGTAAAGGTTCAAATTGGTAGATCATAGATGACCAGATCAACATTAGAGTTGAAATTGGTAGCATTCACGTACAGTCTTTCCTTTACAAACAAGGGCTGAAAGATTTATTGAAGGGTCTAGATATGCAGCGTCATCACACAATTTGCAAAGCCACGAAGCTGTACGTCACAATTAACTTATCAGCTTTCTCTGTTACCAGTTTACCAATTACATAATGCTGACCAGGGCCAGTTCGATATGTTTCATAACGTAAACATATCGACTGCGTCCTTGTGGGGGTTTGCAGACCTACCATGCTGCAATGCATCTTCTGAGGAATGAAAGGATTCCTAGCTGAAAATGTTGCAAGATGTCAACAGTCTACTTATCTTACCGTTCCTGAGATCAGCTGTTGAGACTGTCCTGTTGTATAAGTCAAGCACCAAGAAAACAGTTTTCAGGGGCTGTTTCCACGTGAAGTTGCAAGCTCCAAACAGCGTGATCGTTATCTTCGAATGTGCAGTGGGTTTGAAAGGGCCGAATCTACGCGCTGGGGTGGAGCTTGATGGTTATCTAATTCAGACTGGGCTCCTGGCCTGAACCGCCGCCTGATCTGAAGGAGTATCGGTGCGCAATAAGCTGGTTCCCGGCTCCTTTGCGCGCGCGCTAACGTTGCGCAATAGTTCTCCGGGTAAAACGCCGTACATGCAGAAATGTTCTTTATAATGTAAAGGGTGCGATTTTCTTATTGTAAAATAGACTTCCCTAGACTTTTAGCAATAATCAGTCAATCAATGCCATGAACTCTGATGTATGATGATCGTCATTGCGAGAAATAGGGTTTATTCAAGCTCCCAACAGCGCGTGACAAGTTCGTGATACCACTGTCTGGAGATTAAGCTTGCAGTCAGGGTGCGCTACGAAATAGTGCGCTGTAATTTGCGACAACTAGTTTAGACGAAAACCTCTAGCTCAAAACATCGTTCCTGTATTGCTCTTTGGTGCCCCTAAAGAGCCGACTGAAGTACACACACTGCAGTCGAGCTTAGCCATGCCGGCCACGAGGATTCTGACTGGGTTCCTCTGTTGGAAGTCATTGCGGAATGAACGTGTCTAAGAAATCGTGTTTCGTAGACGAAATCTAGCCTAAAGAAGCGTGTGTATTTCAAGGAGAGGGAGTCAAATATCACGTACCATTCTCATTTTGGTAGGCACTAGGATGCTGCATGTCGTTATGACGAGCACATCAGCTGAGTTGTACCAGAGACCATTTAATAAATATCTTATATGGCCCCTGTTTGTACGAATGGTGATCGTCATTACGGTCTGTAGCCTCAGTAACCCATGCATGTCGTAAGAGGCGACTAACGGGATCGGGTGGTCAGGCTTGCTGACTTGGTTGACACATGTCATCGGTTCCCAATTGCGCAAATCGATGCTCATGCATGCCGTTGATCACTGGATTGTCTGGTCCAGACTCGATTACTCACAGACCACCGCCATATAGCTGGAATATTGCTGAGTGCGGCATAAAACTAAACTCACTCACTCACTCATCATGCTAATGAATAATATTTGTCCAAGAATATACATGATATACACACTGGTGGTTTAGTGTCATGAATGATACATTTAATTTTTATATCGCCATAGGACTCCCATAATACATCGATTTACAACTCCTATAACGCAACACATATGATTCATTACAACAGAAAGTGTTCATTAGTACCAGTTCATGCCGATTCTCTTGTATTTACTGGTTGGCTATGAATAGCAGAATCTGTACAGTGCCCCAAGCTTATATGTTTTTCCTTACAATAGCCCATTGTTACTGTCTAAAATCTGACAAGATTCACATGCAAAATGGGAGGGAATATGCACGTATGAAATGAAAGTACTGTATCTTGATATAAATTGTATCACACCCATTTTATGGGGATACGTATCATATCAAGGCATCACCGCATCCTAGCACCTGTAATATACACACATGGGTCCAGAGTTGTGGTAGGGAAAGCACACTAAACATTTTGTATATTTATAGATGTGATGTCAGTAAGACCAAAAGTAAACATGGTGGGTGCAACTGCACTTAGCCGACAGCCGTGATGAGGTCCAACACAGTCAAGACACGACCCTGTATCACCATGTCTTGACTGTATGGAACCGCATTGCAGTTCTCGGCAAAACCACACTGTGTCTCAGTTCACAAAGTGAATGTCTCCATATTAGTGGTTGTCCAATTAATTGAAATAATCGAAGATTGGTCGCAGTGACTAAACGACCAAGCAATCGATCATGTTTTCTCATAATCGAACACAAACAATTGTGGAACACTTGTTTTCATTAACAGTATGTTATGTTAATTTATGTTCCTAACGTACTAGTCATCCTTTGAAGATGTGAAATTTTGCCAAAAAACACCTTATTTTTGTGCATTAACGCATTTCATAAATGGCGCTAACCAATTATTTTCGATGCTTGATCGGTTGTAATGAACCAATCATCAATTATGAGATTTTAACCAATTCCCAACACTACTCCATATCTCGGAAGGTGTATCCATTCTTCAACAGATTATTGATTACCTGGTAAATGGTAGATCCAGTGAATCATGACAGATGTTTTATGTTTCAGATGAACAGTAACATGTGGACATGAGGGTGTCATCTTTATTCAAGTTGACATGCTGGTATGGCCAAGCATTCAGGAGAGCTTGGAGCCTGTACGGGTCCAGATGCAAGTTTGAATACCTCCAACTCTCCCGCTATTCCTCGTCAGCCTCATCTGGGATTGGTCACAGCTCTAAAACGGGCTCCCATCTTCACACAGCTCCGTTCAAGCAGCCAGGCCCTGTGGCAGATTTCATCACCACACATGGGTTACAGGTCACTGGCAAGACAGTTGCCAAAATTCGAGAATTTGAAAACGAGTACTATCATCTTTACTTGGAACAGTCTGAGTTCTGGGATTATTTTCTGTCTGGTTGTCCAAAGGATTCTCGACAGCATCCAGATGCAATTTTGCATTCCAAGGGTTTGGCAAATGAACATTGCGAAAATACAAACAGTGCTAGTCAAGTAATATCTGAGCATGTGAGACATTTGTTAGAAGTGACAAGAAATCAAGACATGGATTCTATGATAAAGTCAATGCGTGAACTGTCGAAATACTTAACAAGAGAATTACCTGTCATGAATGAAAGTACATTGTTACAATGTATGAGAAACATCATAAAATATCCATTTCGAGACTGCATCACTGGAGAGCCACGAGTCCTTCGCCTAGAGATTGCAAGCATATTTCAGAAGGAATTCCAGAAAAGGCATTCAGAATGGGATTTAAAGAAATATTTCTTAGCTGCAGACTTTCACTACCATTTTCGACTAAGTTACAGTGTAAGCCAATTCATGAAGTCATTTTTCAACCACATGCAGATAAATATTCACGAACTGTCTCACGGAGACCTTGTTGTTCTCATGTACCACGTGTCCCTCTACCGAAAAATGTCCAGATACACGTTGTTGTTACTTGTTGAAATAATTTCGGCAAGGCTGTCTGAGTTTAATGCCCAAACTATTGGCATCATTTGTTTAGGCCTTTTCAAATCAGAGTGGTATTGTCCGAATAAACAGCTTTTAAACAAGATCATTGATTTATCAGGGGGAATTGTGAATGAACTTGATGATGTTTCCCTAACAGCTCTTCTCAAGTATCTTCGGAGGTACACTCACAGAAGAATGATATTTGCTGTACCCGATAGATACCAGACATTAATAGATCTCCAGCCTGTGCTTCAAGCCCGTATGCAAAACACCCACCACAGCACTCTGATAAACATTGTTCATCTTTACGAACATCTTAATGATATATCTGCAGATATGATTCAGGAATTGTGTACAATTCTGTTAAAAGAAGATCTAGGAAGTTGGCGCCTAAAGGATCTGGCCAAGTTTTGCTCGATGGTAGGCAGGTTATCGTTCCCAGTTCAAGAAAGAAGAGAAGCCTTTGAGAAAATAGTATCTGAGTTGTCTTCCACAAGGCGTGCCATTGAGATAAGAACCTTTATGCCATCATTTGTAGCTTGTCTACGTGGAATGTCTTTAGATGGATTCTACCCCCTGGGGTTGATTGGTCAACTTTTCAGCAGTACAGAAGGATGCCAGTGTGAGTCTTCTTGTCTTGGTATTTGTGTGTTAGTTAACACCGAACACGGCAATATTACAGTATATGACAGCAACCTTTAAATATCACAGATATTTTTATTGATTAAACTTGTTTTTTATTTCCCTCACGATGTTTCGGGACTATTCCAGGTCCCTTCATCAGTGAATAAAAAAGAAGTTTAATCCATAAAAATATCTTGGACATCTATGTACAACTTCTAAATGCCACTGAAAGACAACCTTTAAATAATCAAATATGGGTGAAACAAACCAGTGATTGATATGATGAACAACATCCCGCATCATTAGAGCATGAAGACACACGTGCATCCTTCACACAGTCAACCATGGAACAGAGTAGTAGTGTTGGGAATTGGTTAAAATCTCATAATTGATGACTGGTTCATTGCAACCTATCAATCATCGAAAATAATCGGTTAGCATCATTTTCTTGGTTATTTTTGTTTGTACAAAAACATAAAGAAAAAACATGTAGTTCCTTGGGGTTTTTTTCACGCAAATTTCACATCTTTAAAGGATGACTAGTATGTTAAGAACATAAATTTCTTGGGGTCTTTAAGATAAATTCAATCATGACTTGGAATGAGCTTGTAGTGCTCATGAAATGTTACAGACAAAACCAACCTTGTGAAAAATATTGTTAATGCAAAAAGTGTTCCAGAGTTGTTTGTGTTTGATAATGAGAAAACATGATCGATTGCTTGGTTGTTTAGTCACTGCAACCAATCTTCGATTATTTCAATTAATCGGACCACCACTACAGTGTAGTGTTTAATCCATTCAATGGCCTCATGCAACATGTATAGGTTGCTAAAGATCTAGTCAGACTAGAACCCTCACAGTGTTATGTTGTAGCATGGTAGACAATTTTGTGGGTTTCAGAAAACGTGTTAAGAGCTTGGAAGTCCTTTAAGAAATATGCTCTTGGTGTTTCCAATAAGGTGGCACAATTTTTAAGAAAGTTTCCAAAATTACAATCCATAAATTTATATTCCAGTGTAATAGCTGCTTTTTGTACATTTTCTTAAGTAATGGTAGTCTGTGGCATAAGTGTTCCTTGTTTGTCTGGCAGAGTAGTTTTCCTGTGCCTAATGTTTGTTGTAAGAGCAGTCTGAGCATTAGATGTTTGCACATGCTATCTTGCTGAATGTGTCACATTTGTTCATGCTGTCTCGTAAGTAGATGATATGTCGTCTCTCAGATATTTATGAGTGAGAATGTATTGCCTGGTCTCTGTACCCAGATCAGATTCACATTGGGCAGAACCTGTACCACGTGTCCGAGAGCGTGAAGATCGAAGTTCCCCACTATACTGGACCGTTCCTAGATGACCCTGGACAGATTGCTCTTGGCAGGGTATGTTAACAATATCATATGGTCACAGACAGAATTAATGTGGAGTAGGGATGTCACGATACATAAGTTTCATGAATCGGTACGTATCACAATACCCATGTCACAATTCAATGTCATTATCACGATACCTATCTTATCCACGCGGTGATACCTATTTTAAGCTGCATTATTACGTAAATTTAGTTACATTTTGAAAATTAATATTTCATAATTGTGCATGAAAAGATCAACATTTTAGATTCTCAGAGATTAGAAAGTTCTAATTTCCCATCTTTGTGCATGAAAAATAATCCTTTCAAAACTAAATATTGATACAGTGTTGAATGAATCGATAATTTTATAGTCTTAGAAAAAGTATCGATGTATCGATGTATCGTGACATCCCTAGTGTGGAATTATGTTTTGTCATTTAACATGTTTCAGGCACTGCAAATTTCTGTGCAAAATTGTGTTCCTTACATGAGCCAGGAACCAGTGATTGTTCGTTCAGGTCCTAGAATCCCCTGATTGTGTTTCTTGGTCTGTCAGTCTCAAGTGTTAACAGAATACCTAGCTGTTAACATCTTGAGACCTGCATCACTTTGAGCATGTTGAGATTGTCCTCCACATTACACCAGTAAAGATCCGTGTTAAAATTGGTCTTCAGCACACATGCTTGTCGTGAAAGGCGACTAAGAGGAACGGATGGTCAGGCTCTCTGACTTGGTTGACACATATCATCGTATCCCAGTTGCGTAGATCATTGCTCATGTTGTTTATCAATGGATTGTCAGGTCCAAATTCGATTATTTACAGACCACTGCCATACAGCTGGAATATTGCTGAGTGTGGCATTAAACAATCAACCAACCTCTACATTAAGTTGACACACTGTGATATGGCAGGACTAGTGTTCAACTTGCTTACAGTTAATTCTCTCTGCATTTTGCATCTGTTTCAATTTCTAAGTAGAGAGTATTAGAAACGCCCTCTAATATTGTGATGCTATTCATCTGGACACACAACTTCCATGGGAAGCCAATCTGAACAGTATTCCAGAAATATCTGTGTCAGTTTAGTGAGTGAGTATGGTTTTACGCAGCTTTTAGCTGTATTCCAGCAATATCACAGCAGGGGACACCAGAAATGGGCTTCACACTTTGTACCCATCTGGTGTATCAAACCCGGGCCTTTGGCGCTAGGCTAATTCACCACCCCCCGGTGTCAGTTTAATGTGAATGGAAGTGATGCTGGTTTCTGACCTTTACCACTTTGGTGAAACCCACAAGTGCAGGGATTGTGAGGGCAAATCCAGACATTTCCAGCATGCTCAAGGGAACCAACTCTATATAAGCACAAAACATCTAAAAGTTTAATTAAGAGCAAACTTCTGACTTCTGATAAGTGACAATTTGTTCTGTGCATGTGTGCATGACGATTTGTCTTCTGTATCCACATGCGTGATAGTAACATAGAGAATCTCACCGGAGTGTCTTTTGATATCAAATATATCACCATGAGTTGATAAAGGTACAAATATCCGAGACATGCTGAGGATATTTTACTTTTATCAACGAGTGTTGTTATATTTTATGTCAAAAGACACGAGGGTGAAATTCTATTTATCATCAAAAATCACTCTTCTTTAGTTTCAATGAAAAAATGTACATCTCTGAACGCAGTTCTGTCATTCAACTTGCAGTGCAGCGATGTCATAGCATTATGACGTAAGCATTTTCATGACATCATAGCATTGTCAGGGCACTGTACACAATCTGCTGTAAAAATGATATCTCTTATTATGATCTAAAGTAATAATATCTCCTGTGGAACACAGTTTTGGATGATAAAATTACGATTGAATACTGTATTCCTATGTTTATTATGCTTTCAGTGCAGGAAGTATGAGTCTGTTCAACAAAAGCAAACCCAGAAGAAAGCAGAAAGAGAAGACATAACAAATGAACTGATGTGCTTGTATTCTGATATTCTTGGTGGGAGAGAGTATGTGCATCTTGGCACTCTCCTTTCACATTACAATACCCCTGGTGAGTACATTCCACCGACTGTCTACAACATCAATAGTGTACAAGCAGTGAATGATCACATCGTATATATGAAGAGCGTATGTTCAATGTTTAACACTGCTTTTTAAGGACTGTCACGTGGGATAAAAAAACTTTAAGAAAATGCGTGCCTGCGACATTTGTGGACTGGAAAACTGACCTACTGAAAGTCTGGCAAAAAGACCTTATTTGTTTACTTGTTGATGATTGGTTATTTGCTGTTGACCAACATGTATACATGTAGGGGATAACAGTGTATGCAGGGTCATCCTGTTGATTTTCGGTCATTTTCCTGTAGAGTCAACTTGGTTTTTCAGATATTGAACTGCGACTTGATTCTGAGGGGGGAACCCAATACCTGTAGCTGAATGGATCACTCCGGCAGCCAACAAAAGTGGACATGTGAAGTATGTTGGAGACAAATCAGCAATCTTGTCTGCCTATTTGAACATGGTGAAGAACTGGGAGGGACACAGGCTGGTCCTGAGTTAGATCGCCCGGATGTTGCCGGGGTTGTTCTAGACGTGATTCAAGGATGATATAAGTCTCGAGTCAGCATCAGATGTCTCAGAATTTCCCAAATCATGTTATACATGTCTATTTATAACTAATGTTATGGATATGAAGCAATAACTTGTATATCGTTAAAGACGGTTTAGGTGTTAGGGGCATCAATGTTTGGTTTACCATAACACACACAGAATACAATGTCTAAGTAAGGAAAACTTTTTGGAATATCCCAATTTTAAAAAAATAAATTGTTTTTTTCCATTTTCCTTGCCATGGGCACTAAGTTTAGTGTAATCCCAGATAAAGCCTTGTGTTTGTCCTTGAACTGCCACAATTACAATACTCGCTAATTTACACAATCATGTATGTTACGTTATGTAGATAGACACCAAGGGTTACAATCAGGCAAGTGTAGCAGATTCTGGGGCCATGGCAATATTTCAGCGGCACTGGCATAATTAGGTTACCATTTTCCAGGATATGTTTAGTGAATTTGCATACATTACTGAGTGTAATGCAACTGTGACTTAGAGAAGCATGGCAGCATGCTCATGAGCATAATTAAAGGAACCCAGAAATGTTGCCTGCAGGGTGTGTTAATGCTTGGAAGTCACTCATATTGTGGTCTAGGTGCATGTTTTTTAGCTCCCATTGGGAATCCAGATCTGAACAGGTCCGATCAGCTTATGATAGTACTAAATGGATCAGGTGGTCCACATAACAATGACACATCCATTACTGTTTTGTTTGGTCCATGAAATACACAATGCCATTTAGAAAGTGGTCAAATGTAACATATATGTTATATTTGGGATTACACATTCTTAGTAAAGTACAGATTCTAGTACTTTTGTTGGGTTGAGTCCCCTCCGGGATTCGAACCCACACCCTCAGAGTGTAATCCCAAATATAACATATGTTGTTTGGTCCAGATAAAATTACTTACAGGCCACTGTATAGGTTGAGTTTCCTGTTAAACAACAAAAGAAGGAGCGTTTGTGTTATATTGTGTATACCTGGTCCTCTGTTGTTGCAGAGTGGCAGTGTTGCTGTACCCCTTCAACGCCATCTACCTACTGAGGAGGCCTGAGGGAGACGTGGAGATGCATGTGTCTGGTTACTATCTGTGTAAAGCAAGGCAGCTCAGAAAACTTGGATATCAAGTAGTGGAGGTATATCTTGGATGAATCACTTTAAAAAACGATTAGCGGATAGGACAGTAACATAACCACAGACACAAGCTACTATCAGAATTCTGTATATGTGTATGCATGAATGGCCAGATGGTTAGCTCGGCAACAGTTCTGTTAGTTCTGTGCTACATAGCTGTTCTACCCGTGAAGGTCCGGGTTAGAATATTGATCTTCAGTAACCCATGCTTGTCGTAAGAGGCGACTAACGGGATCGGGTGGTCAGGCTCGCTGACTTGGTAGACACGTCATCGGTTCCCAATTGCACAGATCAATGCTCATGCTGATGATCACTGGACTGTCTGGTCCAGATTCAATTGTTTATAGACCGCCGCCATATAACTGGAATATTGCTGAGTGCGGCGTAAAACTAAACTCACTCACTCACTACGTAGCTGTTCAATCCCAAGGGGGACTGAGAAAGAACAGATCCACTGCACTAGGTTGTGTTTTTATGGTTGTTGATAATTAACCGGCTGCTGTAGTATTGTTGACTGATGTGAGATGGTTTGTCCATCATCAGGACAAGGCATCACACAAATACCATTGGTGATCACCATTCCAAACACAGACAAGCCACTAGTCTGCTTTGTACCCAGATGAGTTCTTATGTAGGTCTGTAATTCTGCATGATGTCCGGGTTTCCTGTTCTCATACTTGTTTTGTCTTCACAGATTCCTCATTATGAGTTGAAAGAAGCACAAGATAAGAGGTCGTACCTTAAACAGAAGTACTTGGAGCGATCATGACAGCAAAATGAATGCATAGAAGGCGGCCATCCAGCAACCAGACATAGTTAATTGATTTTAGTCAATGTTTCCAGTTCTCTGTACAGTGGATGACAAGATATTGGATAATCGAGACAGTATAATATCACATCACAAACTTACTGTGGAAACTATATGCTGTGTAGAGTCATTATCACGGTATGAAACTCCCAAAAATTTCAGCCAGAACACAGGGCTGGTTAGATGTAAGACTTGCCACCCCTGACCAAAACTTACCTGCTCACAAAATATATTCATAGTATACATGTCTAAATTTTAACCCGACAGTCGGGCAGGTGAATTTGAGAATCTGTCAGTCCGTGTTGAAAATAACCCATCCTGGACGGTCGAGCAGGCATTAATTTCGAACAGCTGTCATTATGTCTTCCAAAACATGTACGTCAACAAACAAAAGGACATGTTTAGATCTGTGTGAAACGAGTATTTATTGACAACAGCATCCTTACAATGCCATAAAGGTATTCTATACAATGTTATGTACATACTGTACACATCATGAGGAACAGCAAGATGTAACGTGCTGTAACATGAACAGGTGCTGGTCATCATTCAGACCAACTTCAGATTGTGTTCCCATCCTCAAGACTACTTACAATAACAGATTGTAAGGATAGCTGTGGTCAACATGTTTTCAAACTCAGCAGCACTTCATTCCAGGAAATGCTGAACTTATTGAACTCATCAAAGCAAAGCCAACATGAACCAAAACATTAACATTTGGCAAAATCTTGCCAACAAACACAAGATCAACAATTTCCAGTAGTCTAAATGGAGGCATCCAAGGAGGACCCCAATGGTCCTTGACAGTTCCCATTATATGTACTGTGTAATGCTGAAATACAAGTTGAATACAAAGTGCTCTTTTTTGTCAACATTGAGAATTCAGAATTTCTGACTTGATCACGGTCTCAGTCATCCTGCTCGCTGTCATCCTCACTCTCCAGTCCTGACAGAAGTATCATCAGCTTCTGAAATCTCGCTGCAACCTGCAACAAGTGAATTTCTGCGATTTAACAAAGTTGAACTGATCTCTGAATCATTTTCACCTTATTCTATGACAAAAGTACATATATACATATGTTGAGATCCTTGAACCCATGAATGGGATCTATGATTGCATTCAATTTGGTCATAATATATTCAGTGATAGCCAGGTCAAAGGACAAAAAACAAACAACTTGATTTCATTTATCTATACTTTTCCATCAACAAGAGGAAAGACTCAGTGAATGTTTTGTTTTGTATCCTGGTAAAATGTAATAAATAAGTGACATTTCAGCAACATCCTGCATGCAGCCAATTTGTTTAATCAAATCTACCTCATTCGGGGTGACAAGTTTGAGTTTCTCTGCAACTTGTGCAAACGTATCATCACCAGGACCACTCTTCTTACACATCTCGAGGCAAACTTTGTCCATGTCCCTGAAAGAAACAGTAAAATCACAGTGTGTGAAGAGATGAAGTGGTGAAATTGGGCTATACGACAACCTATCTGTGTGGTTGCTTGTACTAGGGCAGACTTGTGCTGGTTTTCTGGTGCTAGGCCACTGAGATACCATGCCACAGTCAACAATAATGAGGATAAAAACTCCACTCATAAAACCAACTTTGGTGATGCAGCCATGTTGACCAGATTATCAAACTAGACATCCCACTCTGTTCACCAGACTGTTAGCCAGTCTCCTAATAATGTAATTTTTAGAGTAAAATTGATATTTTATACTTATCCTGACTCATGCTCTTTTTGCTTGTCTTCTTCTTCTTGCGAACATAGTGGAACACTTGTATCTCCCTAATTGAAGCTCCCTTCAATGTAAAATCACTAATTAGTACACCACGAGTTACCTCCCTTCCACAAGCGCGGGAACGAGGGCGCCACCTCTACCCATGTGCCTCACTCTCTCCTCATATACTGAGCCCAACATTTGAATTTACAGGGAAATCCAAAGTGTTATGTGGGGAGGATGGGAGGGCTTACCTCATGAGTCAGGATAAGTATAAAATATCAATTTTACTCTAAAAATTACATATTTTTCCTTATCCTGACTCATCTCTTTTGCTTGTAGAATCCTCTGGAAAAAGGAGGTGGGAATATATAATACTTTGGATTTTAATAATTAGTGATTTGAACTGTGATGATTGTAATAACCCTATGGGAACTTCATAAAGGCACTGAACTGATGAATTCCTGCTGCTAACTTATCAGCTGCCATATAAAGGTTATTACAATGTACTTATTACAATGTACTTATTATGATAAAGTATATATAACATTAATACAATGCTTAAGACTAATAGACTTAAAAGCTTGTTAAAGTGCTAGTATAAACTCCTTAGAGTTTGTTAGCTAAATTACTTTAAGATATAAACATAGTACTAAGCTTAAGATATGCTTAAACTTAAGCTAATTATATAATAACAAAACTCTTTAGAGTTTGTTAGCTAATATACTTATATGATATGAGCTTAAGATATGAATAAGCTTTAGCTACATATATAATAGCAAACTCTGTAGAGTTTGTTAGCTAATATATTTTACAATATGAGTATAGTACTGTGCTTAAGATATAATTAACTTAAGCTACATATACAATAGCCAAAACCTCTGTAGAGTTTATTAGCTAATAGACTTATATTGTTACCATAGTATTAAGCTTAAGATATGATTAGACTTAAGCTAAATGTATATAACAAAAACTCCTTAGAGTTTTTTAACTAATATACTTTTATGTTAAAAAACATAGTACTGAGCTTAAGATATGATTAAACTTAAGCTATATATATAAAAGCAAAACTCCGTAGAGTTTGTTAGCTAATACATTTTATAATGTAACCATACTGCTTAAGATATGATGAACTTAAGCTAAATATATAATAACAAAAACTTTTTAGAGTTTTGTTAGCTAATATACTTATATGATATAAATATAGTATTGAGCTTAAGATATGAAGGAAACCTTAAGCTACATATATAATAGCAAAAACTCCGTAGAGTTTGTTAGCTAATACGTTATAATGTAACCATAAAGCTTAAAATATGATGAAACTTAAGCCAAATATATAATAGCAAAACTCTTTTAGAGTTTGATAGCTAATATACCTATATGATATAAACATAGTACTGTGCTTAAGATATGAATAAGCTTAAGTTACATATATAATAGCAAAAACTCCGTAGAGTTTGTTAGCTAATACATGTTATAATGTAACCATAATGCTTAAGATATGATGAAACTTAAGCCAATTAGCAAAAACCTCTTTAGAGTTTGTTAGCTAATATACTTATATGATATAAACATAGTACTGAGCTTAAGATATGAATAAGCTTAAGCTACCTATATAATAGCAAAAAACTCCGTAGAGTTTGTAAGCTAATATAATTTTTACAATATGTGTATAGTACTATGCTTAAGATATAATTAACTTAAGCTACGTATATAATAGCCAAAAACTCTGTAGAGTTTATTAGCTAATGCATTTATAATGCAACCATAGTACTACGCTTAAGATATGATTAACTTAAGGTAAATATATAATAACAAACTCTGTAGAGTTGTTAACTTATATTGTATGATGTAATAATCATAGTACTGTGATGATAAAAAAGAACTTAAGCAAATTATATATAGCATGTAGCTATTTAGTACTGTTATAAGATAAGTAGAAATCTGTAAGATTGACTTATCTTCTCCGAGGAACTGTCAACTGTTGTGCGAGGACCCTGGAACCCGAATTGGTGGATACCTGAGGCGTCCTTGGCGGTGATATCTCTCAGATAATGGTTGGCAACCACCATATCGGATCTCCAGAAATAACCCCTCCATAATTTCAAATAACATTTGTGTAGATCAATTGTAGAAGTTAGCTCTAATATCATGAGTATTAGAAGCTCATGGAGGTCCGGATCGGGTCCATCAGTCTTGTAGGCACATAGTATGACAGTTCTGATCCAAGGAGATGGTAGTACATGAGACTTCAGTCTGCGTAACTTGAATATAGAGGAAATAATCTGATGCATTTTTCCCTCCTGTTTGGTTCGGTGGAGATAAATTTACAGTGCTCTTGCTGGCCATCGTGATAGAATCATCGTATCATGAAGTCCAAGTATGTCATCCAGGCGTGTTCATAAACCTCACTTGTGAGGTGTTGGAACACTATATACAGATCGAAGTTGGGCGTGAAACTTCGTTTAATCCTCCAATCAGAAAGCTTAAGTAGGTTTACTAACCATCTAGTTGTGTTAGTAGTTTGATGATGAAATTCAGTTGTAGACTGAGGCGCTGTGGATTTAGATCCACTTGTATTCCGTCGTCTAGGTAAATCCGCTCTTGCGAAGTCCTTGGCGATGTAGGTGCACAACCAGGTGTGTCTGTCCTCGTTGAACTTTATGTAAAATCGCCTGACTGCCGTGCCTCGTCCTAACTTGACAGGGGAGGTCTCTAACCTGAAAAAGCAGCCCAATCATGAAGGTTCAGATTAACTGGACTGTAAGGAGGCTTGCTTTCGTTCACTGATATATAGTTGTCACTTGTAGCGTGAGTCTTGAACTGTGAACTAAGACCGACCTCTCGTGGGTCGTTGTCCATCGCGGTCCAATCAGAACAAGGCATTTTGATTCTGTAGAATACCAGCTGTGATGTCACCGGTGTAGCAGGAAAAACCTTGTATAAAATCTTGCCGTCGTTTATATTAGCATAATGCGTCGGTCTTCACCGTAACTTTCGAAGTTACCCGGTGACCCGTGTTTCGAGGGTTAATGGTAAACGCCAGCGAAACCTCCGGCGAAATACCTGCGCTCTGTAATATTAATGCTGGGTAGGTTATTTTCCTGGCTGTCGTGAAAGTAACTTCAGTTTTGAATATAATTCCGACTTCCTTATATAAAGGTACAATAAACTTGCAAGTTGTCAGCTTGTAGACTGTATACATGAATGTATCGTCATAATTGTAGAATTAAAGCTGAACTTGTTGTACATATTACTTCTCAGAAACGTTGACGATTATGAGTTATACTCGCTGTAACAGGTTGCTGTTCAATTTCGATATTGAATTGTCTGCAGATCTGCGTAATGGTCACACGCATGTAGATAATCGTATCGTAGTGTGGGATAGTATATTCTAGCAATCTATACGGAAAGTTGATTTCTGTGAATATCTATGAAACGTCGTTGACTAATTAATATAGCGACGTTCTGTGTTGTAAATAGCCTGTGCAATTGTCTTCGCGTAGGCTTATAGACGGCATATGGCATACAGTTGATAGACTGACTGACTGACTGAGTTTAGTTTTACGCCGCTTTTAGCAATATTCCAGCAATATCACGGCGGGGGACACCAGAAATGGGCTTAACACATTGTGCCCATGTGGGGAATCGAACCCGGGTCTTCGGCGTGACGAGCCAACGCTTTAACCACTAGGCTACCCCACCACCCCAGTTGATAGACACTTTATGCGATGTCTTGAACGGACTGACGAGTAGCTATATATGAGAGTGGCTAGTATATGGAGACCTTGGAGGATACTTCCTCGGTGAACGACGGAGACTTCACGAAGCTCTCGAAGTATCCCTTCTAGATCTTCTGGGTGAAGCAGACTTGGAGCCACTTAGCCTTCGCGACCTTCGCGAAGGTATCGAGTCAGAGCCCGATCAGTATATATATATGTAATTTTTAGAGTAAAAATTGATATTTTATACTTATCCTGACTCATGCTTGCTTCGTGAACGACCTCTGTGTTCAACAGGATGTGGGGTCGGCGAAGCGCTACTCCTCCGTGACGTCCCTTGTAACTGGTGAGGCTCTAGTTCGCTTCCGCGGAGGCGACCTGGGACTTCCTTATCGAAGTGTCTAGAGTCCGATCAATATATGGCGTTAGCTTCATACAGGGTGTGGTTCTTGCTGGTTCTGCATAAGTAGAGCGAGTAGATCATGCTATCATCTTCAGAAGTCGTGTCACGAAATCTGGTGATAAGAATCTCATTGATCGTTCTAGATCTATTAAGGCCAAAGAACATACGCCTCTGGCGTTTGAACTTACATGCCTTTATGGTAGGCTGTGTCCACATTCTGTGGCACCGCGGCAATCATCAGTCGATCGGAGGTAGGGTGGCGGCGTCTACATCGTCTTCCTTCATCAGGTATGTCTGCGCTGAGTTGCCACTCTTGGACGGTGAAGATAAATCTAGGTTGTTTACCATCCAATATCTTATCTCAGCGTCTGAGAAGATGATGTCTCCATCATCTTCTGTACCAGCATCGGTGATGAGAGGTTGATGCTCTTCTGATGGTGACCTGTGTGCTGCTATCTCTATGTCGGGTGACGCTGCCGACTTGTGTGGTGACCTGCGAGGTGATCGACGTGGTGATGTACGTGGAGATCGTCGTGGTGAACGGCGTGGAGATCGTCTAGGTGATCTGCGTCTATGGGATGACCTTGAGTCCGCATCTGAGGATGAGGCCGAGGACGGTGACGATCTCTCCCGTCTTCGCGAAGACTGTACATCTGAGTCCTTCGTCGAGGTGGTCTGTGACTTCCTTCTCGAAGGCTGCTTCGTCGTGGCTGCTACGCTGACTGGGGGTGCCTCTGGGGTGTTGTCTGCGTTGCTCAGGCCCTGGGCTGGCTGCTTCTCCCGTCTGTAGTGGCCCTCCATCATGGTCATGATCTGCCGCAACAGCTCGTCTGGGATGGTCTGCGACGAAGTGGTGGGTGCCCTCTCTCGCGATGACAGCTGCTGAGCCCTCAGGAAGTCGTCTGACATCAGTGTAGAGACATCAGGCTGCATGGCGATCTCTGCTGATGTCACTGGTCGCTTCTTGTGGCGTACGCCGGGGATGATGATCGGTTGATCATCGTAGAGGCCCAGTTCAGCGGCTGGAACAATCTCGGTTGAGAAAGTCCTAGTAGACTTCGTTGATTTCCCCTCAGAGGTCGTGTTGGTAGCGACGGGACCCTCAGGAAGATCATCGAATATCAGCCTTAGAACATCAGGCTGCATGTTGATCTGCGCTGACATCACTGTTGCCGACATCGGTCATTCTTTTGATGTACATCAGGTATGATGATCGGCTGATCATCATACAGGCCCAAATCTGCGACGGGAACAATCTCGGCTGAGAAAGTTCTAGTAGACTTCGTTGATTTCCCCTCAGAGGTCGACGCTGCCCTGGGGGTGTGAAGTCTGCGTTGAGATGCAGTAGAAGCCCTCTAGTCTTCGGCTGCGACGATGGGATGTCTGGGGAAGCAGGACGCTTCTAGGAGGCGGCGGACTACGTCCCACGCCTCTCCACCACTCTAGCGGAATACCAGGCGGGGAGGGTCGACCAACAGCAGTAGACTGGCGAGGGTTCAGGTGTATCAGTCATGGCTAGACTCTGCATCATTGACCTATCTGCTGCGTCTCAAACATAAAGTATTTATTTATTAAAGGCAGAATTGGATAAATTAGTACCGCAACTGCCACGTGAATAAAATGAACATGGCGCGAGTACAACTAGGGCATATTAAATCGCGGATCAGCAGCAGAATAAAAAAACGTAATCTGCAACAGTACAGAATTTTCATCAACGTAATCCACAGAACAAACATGGCGTCCGTGAATAAACAGTAGAAACCGACTAAATATCAATATATAATTGTTGAAGGATACTAGCTAAACCTCTATAGATGTCTATCACGAGGTAACTAACTAAATATAATCCAAGGATATAGTGTGTCGGAGACACACAGAAGCTCTCGTCCAGCTCACTGGGCGAAGAAGGAGAGAGTGAGGCACATGGGTAGAGGTGGCGCTCTCGTTCCCGCGCTTGTGGAAGGGAGGTAACTCGTGGTGTACTAATTAGTGATTTTACATTGAAGGGAGCTTCAATTAGGGAGATACAAGTGTTCCACTATGTTCGCAAGAAGAAGAAGACAAGCAAAAAGAGCATGAGTCAGGATAAGGAAAAATAAATGTCACTTTTAGCAGTATAATATTCCAGCAATAACACAGCTGGTGACACTAGAAATGGGCTTCACACATTGTACCCATGAGGAGAATTGAACATGAGTGAAAACAATAACCAATAGGCTACCCCACTGCCACAAAACAACATATCTTGAATACTTCAGTGCAAGAACATTGCTTAATGAAAGCTTGTAAGACTTGTTTGGTAAAAGATTGTCAAGATCTGTTTGATGCAAATTTGAGTCGAGTGGGTGAGTGAGTATGGTTTTATGCCACTTTTAGCAATATTCCAGCAATATCATGGCGGGGACACCAGACATGGGCTTACACTTTGACATGGGCTTAACACTTTGTTCCCCCCATGTCCCAAAATTTGAGTAGAAAAAGGGTACAATAAAAAGGGTACAATGACCAGCAAATGCTTTAACCACTAGGCTACCCCACAGTCCCAAAACTTGAGTAGAAACTGTTGACAACATCATAGCAGATATGTTTAGGCTAAAGTGAATGCTGCACCACAATTTTCCAGCTATGTGGCGGCAGCCTGTAATCGAAACTAATCGCACATTAAAACAAAAAGTGCCATTTCTTAAAAGACCTATCCTGACCCAATATGTTCCCAGAATAAGTGTAAGAGGCAACTAAATCAGCGAACCTATTGGGATTCTGGGTTAGAACTGGTGCCTAGCAACCTACGCTTGGTCGTAATGAGTGACTAAATGGATCGGTAATTTGGCCGATGTCATCATGCTTGGCTCATATTATTGTTCACAGGAATGTTTACTCCAAACTCTTATGGTTATATCTACTATCATACAACTGAAACATTGCACAGAGAGGCTAAAACAACAAACACACATATCTTTCTGAATTCATAACCTTCAAATTCTACTGAAAAACAATTTCAACTCACTTTGTCCATTCCACCTCAGTCTCCTCTTCTTCCTCCCACTCCATCGGTTCCTCTGAAACAGGTACTGTTGTCCTACTACCCACTGCCCCCAGTTGTGCAACACCGTCTCTCCCCTCCGTTGGAGCCTGGCGTGTCCCCCAAACACCATCACCCTCTACAACAGCACATGCTTCTCTGGACAGTGCTGCCTGGCTCGCTTGTACACTGGGTTCACCCACAGTGCAGGTTTTCAACACTGGAGGATTTAGAGATGACACACTGGACACTCCAAGAGTCTGCTGTTTACCCACATTACTGGACATTCCAAGTGGAAGGGACTCTGCCCCTGTGCCACTGCATTCTGTACTGAGAGGTTGCACCAGCGTCACTGGTATTCCAGCAACTGTTGTTACAGAGTTCCCCAGTCCACCTGACTGTCCAACAATAGGTTCTGGCTGATTACACTGGGAAATACCTGTACCACCTTGAAGGTCATCTGGCTTGTGGATGATGCCAGCTCTGACTAAATGTTCCTTCAATGTTATTACACCCTGTTGGGTCGCTTCACTTAAAACAGGCATACATTTTACTGGGGAATTATTTCTTGATCCAAATGTTTTGAAATTTGCTGCCATGAAATTGTTCATGAAGTCCATGGACATTGATATGTCTGCATCACTTCTACTTATCTCTGCTGTCTTCATTGCCTTGGCAAGAATGTCAGACATACAACTCTGTGATGCATCCCCTTGCATAGAGGGGCCATCAAACATCTCCAGAATGGACATCCCAAAGCCTGTTCCAGACACACTTCCACCATCGCAGGCTCGGACTTGTGATGCAGTGTTGGTTGCAGATGCTGTCGGTGTGGGCATCTGTTTGCCACTGTTAAGTGTGATGGCATCGGTATGAGATACTCCAACTGCCATCAGATTAGGGAAACTTACAGCCCCTTTGGCTCTTACTGCCTCAGTATTTGTTAATGATGGTGCTTCCCTGGGAATCTTATGCTCCCTCACTGACCCAGACAGTGCTGAGATTGAGGAACCAATTGTTAATGTTTTTGCACTTTTCACAGTTCCACTTGATCTCCCAGACGACTGAGTCACTCCAATGGAGATCTGTGTGACATTAGGACTAGAGGGACCCTTTGATGGAGAGAGTTTCACAAATCCACCTGTCTGCCCTGGTGGCTTGGTTGTATTGAGTGTAGTCCCAATGAGTCTGTCAGACCCCGGAACCTGGATTATGGGGGTGGTGACTGTTTGGGGGACCAGGGTCGGAACACTGGGACACACAGTTGTAATTGCAGCACTAGAGGTGAACACGGCACTAAAGGATGTGACCATGACAGGGTTAGATGTTGCAAGACTCTGGGAGTCACCGTTCTGATCCTCCTGCATAATCTGGTCCTGCATGATCACTGGAGGGTTGGCGACAAGGTCATCGGGCACACTCACAACATAGTCCGACGTCCGTGTAGCAGAACTCTTTTCACGTGATTTCCTTGTTCTTGTCGTGACACCTGTGTCAGCATCAGCACTTCCTGCCACGTCAGAGGTTCCTTCCGAGTCGCAGCTTGGCTCCAGCTCCTTCTTTACTGGAGAAGATCCTAACTCACTGAGGGAAAGAAACCTCTTCTGGCCAGCCTTCTGACGACAGATTTTTAACTGAAATGGCAGGTTCATATGTCATGAATTCCAAGTTGTCAGATATAATGTACAATGGGATGCCTGAAAATAGTTTTACTACAATCAGAGTTAAGGAGTACAGTTTTACATTCATGAGAACACCAGGTGTTCCAGTCAACATTTGGTCACCACGGAAACTGACATTAGGGTGTTTGTGATGCCAATCAATACATGAAGATGGTACCTGATATATAATGACATAACATGATGGTATCATGAGAGGAATCAAAACTAACTAATGACGGAATACTTAACAACTAGGCCACACTACTGCCCATAGTGACTGAGTGAGTGAGTTTAGTTTTACGTCGCACTCAGCAATATTCCAGCTATATAGCGGCGGTCCGTAAATAATCGAGTCTGGACCAGACAATCCAGTGATCAACAGCATGAGCATCGATCTACGTAATTGGGATACAATGACATGTGTTAACCAAGTCAGCGAGCCTGACCACCCGATCCCGTTAGTCGCCTCTTACGACAAGCATGGGTTACTGAAGATCAATTCTAACCCGGACTTTCATGGGTATGCCCATGGTAATGTTAAAACAGTCACAGCCAATATCTCTATGACACTGAGCCCTGGTTTCCGATACAGCCGGAGACTCTCACCTTGATCTTCTTTGCCCTGGCTGGCGAGGAGTGACTGACTGAAGGGGACACGATGGAGGGCCGACCACTGAGACAGTTGTGGTTCTCCTTGTCTGCTGTCTGGTCGTCCTCCAACTCCGGGGTGGTGGTTTGTGGGGATGGGGGCACAGCTTCATGGACAACCACTTCAGCTGGATGCAGCTTCTTGCTGCTGGGTTGGAAGTACAGCTTCCCGTCAATCACCTGCAACAGATTACCTTGCTTTTTGTACAATGTTCAGGGTTCAATCTAAGGTCTTCACATTAGTTCTTGCAACCAATAACAAAACAGAGAATTTCTCTATTAACTTACATCAAACCCTTGTCTTCGGGGTGACTACCTAACACTGTAACTACTAGGCTAAACCCACTCCCCCCTTCAAACACTTCTGGGAACACCGAGGGTCATCACTAGTGTATAGACAAACAGAATGAGACTTCCATTGAACTGTGTACTGTAGGGAAACAGCTTCAGCTTCAGTAAATAATAAAATGTAAATTTACAATGCACCAAATTCCACTCAAAAGCACACTCAAAACACTGAAATATTACAATAGTTGATAGTGGTGTGACGGTTCATCAATATGCATCGATCCACGGGCCGCCGATATAGTGAATCGATGCAAAAGTTTTACATTGTCGTATATCCCGATACGATACTTCTAATGGGCCATGATACATCGATGTTTTACTTTGATTATTGCCGAATCGCGATATCTGTCAAGAAAGGCTTACTTTTGTTTGATGATTAAAATTATTTTGCATACTTACTTTCCCTTCATAAGTTTCACGAAATTCTTGCATCAGAAACTGTGTCAAACATAGCGCTCGCATTTTATAAATATTCACAGAGTCCGTGTATAAACTTAATTATCTCATGTCCGAATGAACATTGAAACAAGCTGGTGGAATTTGACGAAATACTTTAAAATGGTTCTGTTTTAATCTTAAGGTGTTTTATAGTTGGTGTTAGAAATAAAGATATGTATCGCATCGCCACCCTTGTATCAGGATTCGTATCGTATCGCAGCTTCAGTGCACAATACTTTGGCAATATATCGTCGTGACTAAATTTTTAGAATTGTATCGTATCGCAGGTTGTATGCCAATACCAGCACTAATAGTTGATGAATCCATGGACACTCAAATTTCATTCTCACCTCCCTGGGAAGTATACACCCCAATTAATATGTTTATACTGTAAAGTTGGTGTAACCAAGGATATAAATTAAGTGCACCTTCATAGACTTCATTACATACCTTGAGACAACAGTTAAAGCAATGCCGTATGCGTTTGTGCAGCTTGATATCGTTAGGGTCTTTGTGACAGTCACATGGACAGCGCTTGGTGCGGTAGGGATCCAGCTCACTTGGCATGATGACATCCTCGAAACTGTCAACGCTCGCGTCGTCATCAAAGTCGCTGTCACCCAGGGTGACTACCTCAAAGCTGTCTGCATAGCTGTCAACACACATTGTACACCATCTCAACACAACAGGCTTAACATGACACATCGTTTGAAGGTGCTACCTAAATATGCATATAAAAATTTTAACTATAAATTGTATATTTATATACTTATCCTATCTCACGACTTGCACCTCTCTCTCTTCATTCGACCATGAGTGGAAGCAATTAAAACTTTGCTCCAAGGCCTACCTTGCCCCTCTCCGTGCTGTGCGTGCCTTCTGTGTCAGTCGTGCTCACTAGTCCATGACAGCCGCGAGGCATCGCGCAGTCCTCACCGTGATCACCTCACATACTCATTCTCGATCTTGGAGCCATAAAAGGACAAAACGGAGCGGTGGTAATCTATGTAGTGGGGAGGTAGGGAGGGACTTTATCGCGTGAGATAGGATAAGTATATAAATATACAATTTATAGTTAAAATTTTCAAATTTTAAACTTATCCTATCTCACGACTTGCACTTATCCACGGTAGGAAGGTGGGTCATAGATTACCGAAATTCAGCGATAACAGCTAAGTGTTATGCCCAAACAACCGTGGGAAGCAACTACAAGGTAGGCCAATAACTACCAAGTTACTACGTCGCGAGGGTTAGTTCGAACCCATTGACTTACTAAGCACAATTGCTCCCAGGGACCGGGATTCCCGAGCAATGTGGTGTTCAGTCACTACCTTCACAAAGTGAAAGGGCGTAGCTTAGCGAGTGTAATCAGTCGCATCGCCCGCGATTTCCAAAGGTACCCCGTAATAAAAGTCTAGCGACTAGTATCGGGCCAGCCCTGCTTGAAACAACCCCCACAGACACCGTCGAGGAGGGTGAAAGAGAAATTGAATCGGTAAAACTCACAATTTTAGCGTTCAGTACCACAACATCATCTTATGACTTCCATTACTTACCACAATAAGATCACATAGATGTGTATAGGCACTTAGGAGCATGAGCGCTCACGAAGTGTAACACTTCGGGAGGACTCACTTCACTGACTTAATTACTCCGTGGAGCAGAGGACAGTAAGTGAGGTGGCGACTCTCTGTAGTCTCAAACAAATGAGAGGAGAAATCTAAATCCCGGAAGGCGTAAATCAGAAAAAGTATTTCAGATTTATTCAGATTGTACACAAGCAGAAGCGATCGCGACTTGGGATCAACTGCACAGTGGGATCCATATAGCATCGGAGCACAAGGAAGTTCATTATCTGCGATGTTGTGCGCTGATAACTGCTGGGCAGGGCGAATGGTCCAAACTGATGAAGGCCTTGAATATCCGTCACCGACACATCTCTGAGGTAATGAGGCGAAAATACTGTGTCAGATCGCCAAAACAACCCTCCATTATGGCGGTTAGCGAGCAGTTGCTATGCAGCGCCATAGTAGAAACCAATGCCCTGGTTTCATGAGGGTTGACTGCGTGTGGGTGGTGGCAAACCGGCAAAAGTGTAGGCTCGTAGTATTGTAGCTTCGTAGCCAATATGAGAGTGTTGTCGCGAGAGACTTCCGCTTGGAAGCAGTAGACAAGGGTATAAACAGTCTCTTACGCCAGGCGGCTCTTGCGATGCTTTAAAGGTAGCCTTCTGAAGTGTAACGCCGGGGAATGACTCACTTTACTGGCGTAATAAATCCGTGGAGCAGAGGACAGTAAGTGAGGTGGCGACCCTCCAGCGTCTCAAAGCGAGACCTGCAATGGTCAGTTCGAACCCATTGACTTACTAAACACAAGTGCTCCAGGGACCGGGATTCCCGAGCAATGTGGTGTTCAGTCACTACCTTCATGAAAGTGAAAGGGCGCAGCTTAGCGAGTGTAAACAGTCGCATTACCACGATTTCCAAGGTCTGGCGACCAGTATCGGGCCAGCCCTGCTTGACACAACCCCACAGACACCGTCCGTGGAAGTGAAAGGGTAATTGAATCGGAAACTCACAAGTCCCAGAAGAATCGAAGACACAAATCAGAAATAAAATTCAGAATTTTATTCAGATTGTACACAAAGCAGAAGCGATGCATAACAACTGGTGATCATCTGCTGAAGCTGATGGTTGTCCCAAGTGCGAACAGGCGATAATGACAATGCTGAATTCCAATTAGTTGTGATGAAGGGCCCTTTCTCCTGATGACCACTGCTAGGCCACTTGATGGAGAAAGTGGCCCCAGCTTGCAAGATGTGCCAGCGAATAGGTGTTGAGTCGGTATGAAGGGCACCCTAGAGACTCCAACACAAACATTCCACTTGTTGAGCCACCAGCGAAAGACTGAATGTAGTTGTCGCGGAAGGCGAATCAACTCCCTGGGGTTGTGGTCCCGATGTATGGGCACAGAACCATCTGAAGAGGGCAAGCTGCAGCTGGCCCTGTCAGTCAGCACTTGTGCGGCGCCAACCACCCTAGTAACTTCTGCCACTGGCGAAAAGGTGTGGGTTGGACCAACACTAGTGGTGCGTTGCACTGAATCTTGTCCCACCTCTCCTAGGGCACAAACATCATGACCTGGCGTGTTGAATATTGTCCCAATAAGAAGAAACAGCGGGTCGGTGTTACCCCTGATTGCTCGAATTTAGCAGCCATCCTAATTGCGTGAGCAACCGATGATGAACTGTCTGTGGAAAGGAAGGGCGACTGGATCCTGCTGGGCTTGAACACAGTCGTCGATATTGTTGTCAATTGTCAGCCGACAATGCAGGTAGCTGGTTAACAGAATGGCTATCTGAGTAAAAACCCGCGGGGCTGCGCATATGCCCATACAGCAGGATCCTCCATTGGTATCAAGGGCCCCATAAAAGTAAATCGAAGATACTTCCAATAGTCTGGATGTATCCGGATGTGAAGGTAAAGCGTCTCACAGGTCGAGGACTGACTGACTGACTGAGTTTAGTTTTACACGCCTTTAGCAATAATCCAGCAAAATCGGCGGGGGCACCAGAAATGGGCTGAACACATTGTGCCCATGTGGGGATCGAACGGGGTCTTGGCGTGGCCAGTCAGCGCTTTAACCACTAGGCTACCCACGGCCATGCGCGGAGTCGAGGGAAATGAGAGGTCTAACCACTCTTGCCTCTGACAAAAGATATCTCCTGATATAAGAGCGTTCAATAAATTCGAACAACTCGTCAGTTCTGGCGGAGTGCTCAATGTAGTATGTTAGCATGGAGATTGTCAGTCAATCTACAGGAGCGTTCACATTATAAACAAATTGTAGAAATTAAGTAGGATCGGTGACCTCAGGAGCGTTTCTTTTGGCGAACAAAATAATTGTCGCCAGGTGGAGTGATATAGGTAGTAGATGGCGCTGCCTGGTGACAATCCTTGCATAATGCAGTGACCTCTGAACTTCGGTGCTTGACTAGGCAAACCGTTCCGCGGGTGTTTCTGTCCGTCACCCTCAATAAGCAGTCTCTCGACTGGCTGTCAAAATCCGACACAGTCACTCTTATCGGGGAATGGCGGCGTTAGTTGTTACTTGCATTTATAGGCTGGACTTGGTATCCGATTAAGTGGGACCAAGAGAATTCTGCAAGGGCACTTCATAGTCACTCTAATCATCAAAATTCCGGTAAACAAACAGTAGTCCGCCATTTGCAAGCGTTACACCACGGTGACAAAAATCACGGACAACCTGGTCTTTGGTTAACGGGCGATCATAACCCATAAATTCGGGCTGAGCTATGCTGGCTATTTGACAAAACAGTGCGGTACCATGCGCCAAGAACTTCATCCATTTGTTATCTGTCCAGAAACTTGCTTAACATGTAAAACAAAGGGGCTGAAGATGGCGAGCCGTCTGCAACAATTGCACCAAAGGGATACACAAACAAGCTGTTACGAGTAGTCTGTAGTAACAAGACTCATCGGGCGTCGTAGAGTATTCCTGGCTGCATAAAGCGTATCTAGTTATGCCATATCGGTGGTTGCAGAACTGATATCTACACGAAGGGTAGAATCGTTGAACCGAATCATTCATCAAAAGTGAAGATCGGATGGTAGATTAAATCTGGAATGAGATGAGCTCGGTCCGCGGAGGACTCTTGAGAACTGGGATCGCCAGGCGTCAAGTGCGGCGTGATATCTCTAGATGACTGCGCTACTAACAACACATGTAAATCAAATCGGCATGGTGAAGCACATAGCTACTACCTCTGTACATTGATCTTGAGCGGCCAGGTGAACTGGTTCGGCGATAGGGAGCTTTTCGACCTGGTGAAGCGATCTGAGCGGCTGGTAAATCAGTTCAGGGTGGTGAGCGGAAAGTTGGCGTGATCTGAATCAGTCGATGTGATCTGAATGCGTGACTGATCTGGATCGGTTCGGTAATCGAACGGTTAAATGATCTCAGCTGATGGAGAGATCTAGAGCGCTCAGATGAACCAGTGGCGAGGTGAAATGTTCGGCCGAGGTGAATCGTTTACGTTGCTGTGAATTGAATCGATGATGTGAACTGTTTGGCGATAAGAAACAGTCTTAATATTATGGCAAACTGAGTCAATGTCGTTATTCACATGCGGTGGCGAAAGCGGTTGATCTGGTGAATCCATTAGTGTATGGCGAACCGAACCGATTGATTGTGGCGAATCGGTTCGGTCTGGTGAATCCATTTGGTATGGCGAACCGATTCGGCGTGGTGAACGGTTTGGCAATTTGATGAATACGGTCTGGTGAAACCATTACGGTATGGCGAGCGATTGGGTGTGGTGAATCCATTCGGTATGGCGAACCGATTGGGTGTAATGGTGAATCCCTTCGGTATGGCGAACCGATTGGGTGTGGTGAATCCATTCGGTATGGCTAAGCGAATTAGGTCTGGTGAATCCATTACGTATATGGCGAACCGATTGATTATTGGCGAATCGGTTGGCGATTTGGCAAAGTAGATCGGATGTGTGAGTCAACTGGCAACACAGAAGCGTTTTGATGGCGGAACCGAGAGACATCTAATGATAAGCCCATAAAATTATCACCGTTCGACATGGGAAACTGCGGACGGACGAGCAGTTAATACCGGTCGTTAAAAGCGGGGGTTTGTCGGGTGATCAACTGTTGAAGTGTAGCGAGCTCTGTCTGCCAGCCATCGGGAGCAAGTATGTCTACATGCTCTAAAAGCGTCCTTAATAAGGGGAGCACATTCCGACAGCGTTTGCTCCAGGAACATGGCGATTGGGGATCGAGGAAGTAAATATTGTTACAGTGTCGCAAAATTACGCTACTGAGTCTAGACTGACAAGGCGGGATATCCTGATTCACCTAAAGTGAATGAGACCGACTTCGAGAATCACTCTGGCGAAAACACACCTTACGGCTAGGTGAACCCGGATCGAAATGGCCAACCACCTCGACCAGAAGCGAGACTGAGCGACTCTGGGAATCAAAGCTGATGATGGTGTGTCGAACTGAAACCTATGTTGAGGTGAACTGAGTGGGAATGTGAACCCGTTAGTCCTGGTGAACCCCTTGATGCGTGAATCAGTTCGGTCAGGTGAACCCATTTGATTCGTGAATCAGTTCGGTCAGGTGAACCCATTGAAGATGTACTGGTGAGCGGCTCGGCCGTGTGAGCGGTTCGGCTGTGTGAGCGGCTTCGGCCATGTGAGCGGTTCGGCTGGCTTCGGCCGTGTGAGCGGTTCGAATCAATCAAAGCGCTGTGGTGAGTCGAGCGGAAACACCTGTTGAGGTGAATTGAGTCGGGAATGTGAAGCGGTTCGTCCTGGTGAACCTATTTGAGTCACGAAACGAATGCGGCCAGAGGAACCCGATTCGACTCGTGAATCAGTTCGATCAACTGAACTCATTCGAGGATGTTCTGGTGAGCGCCTCGGCGTGTGAGCGGTTCGGCAGGGTGAGTCGGTTCGGCATGGTGAGCGGTTCGGCTGTGTGTGAGTCGGTTCGGCTATGTGGCTGGCTGTGAGCGGCTTCGGCGATGTGAGTCGGTTCGGCAAAGGTGAGCGGTTCGGTAAAGGTGAGCGGTTCGGCTATGTGAGTCGGCTTCGGCTGTGTGAGCGGCTTCGGCGATGTGAGTCGGTTCGGCAGGCTCGGCGGGGGTGAGCGGCTTCGGGGAAAGTGAAGCGAGACCTAGAAGCGACTCTTGCCAGCCGTGGAAGAAACGCATTGAACCTTCGCACCAGATGGTGATTCAACTTCGTGTGGGTGAATTGTTCGGTTAGATGAAACCGTGGAATTAGGAGAGCGAGTGCGTTCCAACCGCGCCGATCCCGCTTTGGCGATGAATGCTTAGAAGTTCGAAGTCTGTGATGCGTTCGAAGAAACAGACCTACGAGATAATGTAGATCGCAGGTCTGGCGTAGAAGAAATATCGGTCATTACCACCCTGAGTGCGCTCCTGAGAGCGTAAACTGGGTGAGGAACCTCCCCTAAAAGCCGTCTCCGTTCTCAGATAAATAGGAATCTGGCGAAGCGTCCATAAAATCTTAGTCGTCAGAAGCGAGGCGGCCGATTGAGAGCGGTGAGCAGTGAGGGTGGGGCGATCTAAGCATTGTTTCTTAGCGGGAGATGGACCAGACCCGCAGAAATAGTCCTAGCCCTATCTGCCAAGCGTCTGGCACAAACGCGTTTGTAAGATTTAAGCGCCTCATTAGACAGACCTGAACACTTAGGACAGCGTGTGTCCCAGTCACAAACACCCACACAATCAACACCGCGATGTGTGAGGGTCCCATGCTGAAAATACTTTATTACAGCGGACGCCAAAACTTCCGTTTACTGGCCTTAACAGGCTTAACCATTTTGAGCAATTCTCAGGCGAAAATTTTCCCGTCCACTCAGTGGGCGACAAGAAAGAGAATGAGTATGTGAGGTGATCAAGTGGGTGAGGACTGCGCATGCCTCGTGCTGTCATGGACTAGTGAGCACGACTGACACAGAAGACACGCACAGCGGGGAGAGGGGCAAGGTAGGCCTTGGAGCAAAGTTTTAATTCGTTTCCACTCATGGTGAATGAAGAGAGAGAGGTGCAAGTCGTGAGATAGGATAAGTTTAAAATATCTTTGTATCTAGCTGACATTACCTCAAGTTTTCTGAGGAGTGTCCTGGCCTTGCTGACTTCCTGGTTCTTCATGAAGCAGCCACACATGACAGCCTGTTCCGGGAGAAGGAACCCTGCAAAGTCATCCAGCAGCTCGGGGAAGTCCTTCAGCAACTGACTCAAACTTTTGTACACCTGGAAGTGAGAAAGCCACCACTTTGGTCACAATCTTGTTCAACTTGCATTTTGCAGTTTGATTTGTTGAACATATGTGAAAACAACAAAAGCACTATCTGCAATTATCATGATTACATGTAACAGTTAGTATTTCTTCGCAAGGTCATGCATTAGTTTACAAAAGAGAACTGACTTTGTGTAAGGTGAGTGAGTATAGTTTTACACCGCTTTTTCAAGGCAATATTCCAGCAATATCACTGCATGGGACACCAGAAATGGGCTTCACACATTGTACCCATGTGGGGAATCGAACCCGGGTCGTTGGCACCCCCTCGAGCCAGGTGAGCTAATGGTGATATATGGTCACTTACAGTTACTCATGCCTATTTTTACCTTTACATTCTTAACATGTCTTAAGAAACTTGAGCTGCCAGGTAAGAATGTTTATTGAGCTAAGCACTTAAACAGCTTATCACAAATCAACAACTACCAAACAGAGATGAGGGGAACCCTTGATAAGACGACACGCAGTGGACGTACATTTGATATAACAAAGGATAGCAATAGCCCATGATATAACAACTTTCAGTGTACATGTACATTAGACTTTATGAAGGATACAGGCAACCCTTGATATGACTTCAGTAGACACGTACAGTAACAAAGGATACAGGCAGCCCTTGATATGACTTCAGTAGACAGGTACAGTAACAAAGGATACAGGCAACCCTTGATATGACTTCAGTAGACAGGTACAGTAACAAAGGATACAGGCAACCCTTGATATGACTTCAGTAGACAGGTACAGTAACAAAGGATACAGGCAGCCCTTGATATGACTTCAGTAGACAGGTACAGTAACAAAGGATACAGGCAGCCCTTGATATGACTTCAGTAGACAGGTACAGTAACAAAGGATACAGGCAGCCCTTGATATGACTTCAGTAGACACAGTACAGTAACAAAGGATACAGGCAACCCTTGATATGATTTCAGTAGACAAGTACAGTAACAAAGGATACAGGCAACCCTTGATATGACTTCAGTAGACAAGTACAGTAACAAAGGATACAGGCAACCCTTGATATGACTTCAGTAGACAGTAACAAAGGATACAGGCAACCCTTGATATGACTTCAGTAGACGTACAGTAACAAAGGATACAGGCAACCCTTGATATGACTTCAGTAGACAAGTACAGTAACAAAGGATACAGGCAGCCCCCTTGATATGACTTCAGTAGACACGCAATTGATAGTAACAAAGGATACAGGCAACCCTTGATATGACTTCAGTAGACACGCACAGTAACAAAGGATACAGGCAACCCTTGATATGACTTCAGTAGACAGGTACAGTAACAAAGGATACAGGCAACCCTTGATATGACTTCAGTAGACACGCATTACAGTAACAAAGGATACAGGCAACCCTTGATATGACTTCAGTAGACAACGCATAGTAACAAAGGATACAGGCAACCCTTGATATGACTTCAGTAGACAGGTACAGTAACAAAGGATACAGGCAACCCTTGATATGACTTCAGTAGACAGGTACAGTAACAAAGGATACAGGCAACCCTTGATATGACTTCAGTAGTCAAGTACAGTAACAAAGGATACAGGCAACCCTTGATATGACTTCAGTAGACACGTACAGTAACAAAGGATACAGGCAGCCCTTGATATGACTTCAGTAGTCAAGTACAGTAAGAAAGGAGACAGGCAACCCTTGATATGACTTCAGTAGACACTTACAGTAACAAAGGATACAGGCAACCCTTGATATGACTTCAGTAGACAGGTACAGTAACAAAGGATACAGGCAGCCCTCAAACACAAGCCCTCAATCAAGACGTAAATCGGATATAGCAAACTTTGATACACCAACCGTCAATGGACAAGTGCATTGGATATAATACAAGGCAGGGGTGGAAATAACCCATTGCCCGACACCCGAATCCAGTGTTTTTTTCTGTCGGGCAAGCAAATTCGTATATCACACTGTACCGGCATCCAGTTGACTTTCCAATGTTATTTATGTTTTTTATTTTAAAAATTCAACAAGAAAACGGCCGGTGTAGTGGAACAATTATCAGGGCAAATGATTTCATATGTGCCACTGTACCAGAGTACACTAGCAATTTTAAAGTTATTTCCACCCCTGCAAGGTAGAGGCAAACCCTCGTTACGACGACTCTCAATAGAAGATTACATCAGATATAACAAAGAGGATATATTCAACCCTGCAATGGACAGGTACATTGAATATAGACTGGTGGGAAACTCTTGATACATGTACAAAGGCACCTGTTGTAGCGGTACATGGGATACAATTATGAAGTGCATCAGGGTAATTTGAGGAGGGAAACCACAACAGCCTTGATCGACAGGCACAGGAAGCAAAAACCTTGATACAACAGCCTTGATTGACAGACACAGGAGGGAAACCCTTGATACAACAGCCTTGATCGACAGACACAGGAGGGAAACCCTTGATACAACAGCCTTGATCAACAGGCACAGGAAGCAAAAACCTTGACACAACAGCCTTGATTGACAGACACAGGAGGGAAACCCTTGATACAACAGCCTTGATCGACAGACACAGGAGGGAAACCCTTGATACAACAGCCTTGATCAACAGGCACAAGAGGGAAACCCTTGACACAACAGCCTTGATTGACAGGCACAGGAGGGAAACCCTTGACACAACAGCCCTGATTGACAGACACAGGAGGGAAACCCTTGATACAACAGCCTTGATCAACAGGCGCAGGAGGGAAACCCTTGACACAACAGCCCTGACTGACAGGAACAGAAGGGAAACCCTTGACACAACAGCCCAGATCGATAGGCACAGGAAGGAAACCCTTGACACAACAGTCCTGATTGACAGGAACAGAAGGGAAACCCTTGACACAACAGCCCAGATCGATAGGCACAGGAAGGAAACCTTTGACACAACAGCCATGATCGACAGGCACATAAGGGAAACCCTTGACACAACAGCCCTGATCGATAGGCACAGGAAGGAAACCCTTGACACAACAGCCCTGTTCAACAGGCACAGGAGGGAAACCCTTGACACAACAGCCCTGTTCAACATGCTCAAGAGGGAAACCCTTGACACAACAGCTGTAATTGACACAACAGCCCTGATCGACATACATGGGATGAAAACCCTTTACAACAGCCTTGATAAACAGGCACAGGAGGGAAACCCTTGATACAACAACCTTGATTGATAGACACAGGAAGGAAACCCTTTATACAACAGCCTTGATTAACAGGCACAGGAGGGAAACCCTTGACACAACAGCCCTGATCGACAGACACAGGAGGGAAACCCTTGATACAACAGCCTTGATCAACAGGCGCAGGAGGGAAACCCTTGACACAACAGCCCTGACTGACAGGCACAGGAAGGAAACCCTTGACACAACAGTCCTGATTGACAGGAACAGGATGGAAACCCTTGACACAACAGCCTTGATTGACAGGCACAGGAGGGAAACCCTTGACACAACATCCCTGATTGACAGACACAGGAGGGAAACCCTTGATACAACAGCCATGATCGACAGGCACAGGAGGGAAACCCTTGATACAACAGCCTTGATTGACAGGCACAGGAGGGAAACCCTTGACACAACAGCCCTGATTGACAGACACAGGGGGGAAACCCTTGATACAACAGCCTTGTTCAACAGGGGCAGGAGGGAAACCCTTGACACAACAGCCCTGACTGACAGGCACAGGAGGGAAACCCTTGACACAACAGCCCTGATCGATAGGCACAGGAAGGAAACCCTTGACACAACAGCCCTGTTCAACAGGCGCAGGAGGGAAACCCTTGACACAACAGCTGTAATTGACACAACAGCCCTGACTGACAGGCACAGGAGGGATACCCTTGACACAACAGCCTTGATCAACAGGCGCAAGAGGGAAACCCTGGCACAACAGCCTTGATCGACAGGCACAGCAGGGAAAACTTGATATAATAGCTCTTAATGACGAGCTCATCAGATATAAGAAAAGAAATCCTTAAAACAGCCCAAAGGACTGGTAAATGGTAACTATTCAGCTGGGAATCCCTTTACATAACAGCCTGATCAACAGTTACATCACATATGTTAAGGTGGGGAGCCTTTGATACAGTGGCCCCTGAACAGACAGGTGCATGGGAATTAACAAGGAAAGCGTTGATACACTGCCCTACAACTGCAGATATGACAAAGGCAATCTCTCTAGTCCAAATTTGTGATCTGAATGCTCCCATCATCAATATATCAGTAGCCCACTCAGACCAGACAAACACAATGGTGCTTGACAGTCTCCATGGCAACCTGGATTGGCTGAATTTACGAGATATCAGCAATATAACTGACAAATCAGCTTAATAGAACAACACCAGCGTTTTGTTAATATCTAAGTTACAACAAATTGACTCTATTGGTACAAGATTGTACAAATGCACAACCATTCCACACTGTACATGCCTTCTACTGCATCAAAAGCTTTACAAATTAAGAGTCCGGAAACCACATTTGTTTCAAACAATAAGATGCCAACAACATTCTCCGAGGAGAACATGAGGATGTACAAATCAGCCAGCATGGACAAAAGCTGTTTTCTTATCCATAAACATTTAACAAGAACCTCCAAAATCTTTGTCAAATGAAGCCCGACTCTCAAACGTTTTGAATGAAAATGAAACATGAAAGTGACTGTGATCAATTGAATTTCTGTACTAAATTATACTTGTACAAAAAACAAAGTATCAGGTAGACATAGTGGTGGTCAGGCATGTGTTACAGAGCTTGTTTCAGCTGGAAATATCAAATATTTTTACATTATGTCTAACCAATACATTTAGTGTTGTTTGAAGTCTCTTTCAAACAATTACAGAAAGGAATAAAGTCGAAAAGTCAAATTCTAATTGATATGCCCAATCTGCTGACCTTGAAGGTGGATGTTTTTCACACCTAATTCTTTCAGCTTTCATACAAAAACATAATTGGGGCCTATTTCAGGAAAATGCCACTCAACATCAGCTGACTGGACAGGTGCAACTCAGCTCTCATCTGCTGTAATATAACTGACCCAACTAAACCTTGAAGGGTTCTCAAACAGTCGTAAATAATTGTGTCAATGATACCAAGATGGGAGGGGAGCATATTTACGGATACTGGTCATATCAAGTGTGCCAGGTTGTATTATTAGTCAGCATTGAACAAGTGGGCCACTTGCTGTCTGTCATATTGTGTTTTATGTTCCATCTGGGCCCTATGACACACAAACCTAAAGCCACTTCTGATTTTAACACTTTCAAGGCTAGGGTATATTGCCATGACTAGGCTGATTCAATGTCAGCCAAGTACGTCAGTACCAAGTAGCTGTTTCACAGCAATACTTATGCCATGATTAACATTAATAAATAACTGGCTATATTCTACATATCAGGTTAGGCCTAATAATAACAATATGATTCAATCACACTTGACTATAAAAAAATGGTTAATGTACATAGGTAGTATTTGTTTTACTGCATATTTTTCAAAATGGCTGCAACAACGATGCAAAGTCAGTAGTAATGCAGTATTTGATATATTGCATGAATGAATACACATAGTAAATGCCACTGAAATGATGTTACGATCAGTACCTGAAGTCCCCTGATAAATATTCAATTACTGTTGTAGTAATACTCTTATAAAATACAAATACATTTTAAATTCTTTTTCTCAATAATCTTAACAAAGTTTTGTCTGCACCCGTATATGGTTATAGAACATGCTGTACAAAGACAAAGGTAAATGGCAGGTGATACATACCAACTACGGGAGTTAAAGGGTTACATCTCCTCCTGACCAAGCCACGTGAACAGTGTGGAGACGCACCACTCACGCCAGCTGTCTCTGTCACGACAGTCTTCATCATAACGTTTCATAAAGACGTAATGCTCAGAGACAGTCAAAACTCCAGCTGGGAATATATGCCGGAGTCATCGCTTACATAATACCAAGAGCTAGAGTGTTGTGTGTATATACGGAGAGGAGCTGTTTGTGTTTCTTGTACAAGTGTACATCTATGAGGATTATGAACCAGAGAAATGCTTCTGTTCACCTTAAAGTCCTGGATCACGTCCATACACATCTCGACACTGGGTAAAATCGGTGCAATGGTTTCCAATATTCAGTTTTAAACGTGAGTCAATTGTGTGAACCTGACAATGGCGGGGAATTCAACAGAAGAAACGTCTACAATAATGTTTGACATGGACATGACACAGAACGGTACAAACTCAACCTTTAATGGCACAGATGGAATCATTCGGCCACCAATGCCACCCATTGATTTGGACACAATTCTTAACATGTACAAAGAGTACCGATGGTCGAGGTACCTTGGTATCTATGGTTACCCCATTCTTGTTGTGCTTGGAACTATAGGAAATGTGCTAAGTTTCATCGTGATGACAAGGAAAACAATGCTGCGATCATCTACCTGCTACTACATGGCTGTGTTGGCAGTTGCTGATACTGCGGTTCTGTATTTCGGTTGTTTGCGGATGTGGTTCGCTTACCTCACTGGAAATGATGTGCTTATACTAAGTCCAGCGGCTTGCAAAATATTCAACTTTCTCACATACTGGAGTTTTGATTTTGCAGCTTGGATACTAGTTGCCATGACAGTAGAACGCTATATTGCTATACATTTTCCTTTTACAGTCACTAAACACGCAACTATCCCTCGAGCCAAAGTTGTGTCCATTTTTCTCGGTGTCATTTTTGTGGGAATCAACGGTCACTTTTTTGCAACAGTCACTATCAGTGAGAGGGGTTTCTGCAGCTCTCTGGAAGAATACGTCAGATTCAATGACGTTGTGTTTCCATGGATAGACGCAGCCTTATATTCCTTCATTCCTTTCATAGTTCTCCTTGTGTTCAACATACTCATTATCCTTGACAGCAGAAAGGCCATTAAGCGACAACAAGCTCTTCAAGCATCATCACTGAATAACACAAATACTCTTAACATTCGTTCAAATTCACGTCTGACGGTGATGCTTCTGTCAGTGTCCCTGACTTTCCTTGTGGCCTCTGCACCAAAAGCTGCTCTAATCATCATCAAGCCCTACACTTTCGACTTCTACGATGGGCCTATGGTGGACTTCCACCTGCTATCAAAGTATACACTGACAGCTTCCGTGATGAATTTCTTAACGTATGGCAACCATGCCATAAACTTCCTTCTGTACTGCATCAATGGACAGAAGTTCCGCAGCGAGTTGAAACGGCTCATACATGTGTGCACCCACAGGAAACAACGAAGAAGAATAGCTTCAATACAGATTGAGATGGACGGCGTCAGAAGGAACTCAGCCTGCGCTGACCTGGTCATAAACTCAGTGCCAGATTTCGTCACTACGATTACAGATCCTCAAGTCAGTGAACCATAATGTTGAACACTTGGGAGGAAAAGGTGACTCAGTGCAAAATCATCATCACTAAAGCCCTCATAAAATCTCAACATCTTCAAGGTTAAAAATATTCTCCAAAACCCATTCATCACTGCACAAAGTTCAACATGATGAAAATGTGATCAAGTGCAAATTCAGCTCCATCAGAAGCATTACTAAAAACCACAACGCAATGAAAGTGACAAACATCCTCCAGTATCCCACTGTTAAACTGGATCACAACACAAAGTTAAACAAGATGAAATGCAATCAAGTGTAAATTCAGTTTCATCAGAAGGACTACCACAATCTGCAGCAAGATCAAGTTAAAAAACATCATCATTATCCTAAACGCTATGATGGTGACAAATATCCTCCAATATTCCAGTGTTAACCTGGATCACAACACAAAGTTCAATATGATGAAAATCTGATCAAGTGGAAATTCAGATTCATAGAAGCACTCTTAAAATCTTCAGCATGATCAAGGGGACCACTGTTCTCCAGTAGTCCAGTACCTAACCTCCATATTTGATCGCAAAGCAAGGTTAAACGTGATAAAAATGTGCAAAATCAGCTTCAAAAGAAGCCCTACTAAAATCTTCAGCAAGATCAGGGTGACAACTGTTCTCCCTGCATCCAACCGTTACACTGGAGCACAACCAAAAGATGTGATGAGAAGGTGATCAAGTTTAAATCACTGTCACTAGAAAAACTCATGACCTTTCCCCTTCATCAAGGAGACAAACATAGCAAGGACACCAAGTTATCAGACACCTGATAACCATACCTCTAAACTATCTTTCTGTGGTCACGTGGGGAACAGCGCCACAGCGGTACGACCGGTGTGTGGAATGACCCTTTGATCCACAAAGACTGATTAATGTTTTTTGTTTACATAAATATATTCATCAATGTGTCACTGTTAAAAGACAGGTCAGGACACAGCATAAAGTTACAATGAACTTATTTTCTACCCCTGAGTCCCTCGACATGATGGACAAACCGGATGAACAAAGACTGAAGGTCACACTGTAGTGACAGACAATGTCATTATTACTGCAATAACTGTCTATGTTGATATCAAGTCATCTGTTATATAGCAATGACGTTTACTAGAATAAACGTAACATTCGTGGCATATACACTGAGTTCTCTCCTTGCAATACAAACTTGACATGGTATTTCAGACTTTCTTGGTCAATATTAATTCAATACATAAAACTGCTGTTCTGAAATCCTAATTCAAGATAATAATATCTTTGTGAAAACTATTTCATTTTATCTGAAGTTAAACTTTGTCAATAATCTGAGTTTATAGGTCTCACACTGGTCAGCACAGCTATTATGATGCTAGTCTCAGAGTTTTGAAATCCTAATCAGAACAACACAGTCATCTACATAGGTAAACAGCAAACAATATATGGAAATTAAAGAAATTCTGGTGACATGAATATCTACCTCACAAAAGAATGCTGCATATATGAATACAAACCTGTGTTACCTTCTCCCAATTGTAAGGTTAAAAATATTTAGCACTACTGATCCTGGTCCGGGAGACCCTTATACTAACCTCGACAGCTGAGAGTCCATCCTTTCCTAAGTTGTACATGAGTGTGAGGAACTCCTCGTACACCTGCAGGTTTCCACTCAGGCTGTCCCGAACCCTGTCCAGGTACGCCTGGGCGAACGCTGTGTCCTTCTCGTCTTTCTATATGCGAGGACAAGCTTAAAGTGTTCATTATGCATTCATGGATGAACTAAGGTACAATAAAGTTTGGTTATAACAAACTCTCAAAGGGATCACTAATTTTAGTTCGTTATTACCATAGTTCGTTTAACTCATTCCAACTTAAACATTCAGCAAGGGCCGAGACAAAAAAACTGTTTGTTATATCCGTTACTTTGTTGTAAGCCTATTAACTATAAACAGAGTTAGCTGTATTTATAGAAAATTATTTCAACTGAGTATGTAATCAATATCACACTTCAGAATAGTGAAGAGATAGTCTGCCTCAGGGACACAATGGTTCTCTTTTCACGTCAATATTAATCTTTTGACTGGACAAGAGATGATAAGCATGTTGTTTGACTAGAAATACCAATATATACTGTGTATTTTGATTAGCATAAAGCATTGTTAAGTATTTCTTAGTAATACTACATAATATTGTTGACTACAACTAGGTTCGACAGAAGATAAGGTGGAGTTACCTAGAAGTACCCAAGCATGGGATGAAAATAAAAGGGCAAGGTCTGTTTTCCACCTGTATGACCAAATTGATGCACACTGATGAGAATTACGCATCACATGCTAGAAGTGACAAACATTCAAGTAAAACCTGAGATCCAGACAACCGATCCAGTGCATCCAGGAACAGTTACTGATGAACAGACCATGGTGACTAAGACAAATATCACCTGGAAACTTTTTTGGGACCATGGTTATCATGAGGAGATGTCTGCAAGTGAGTGAGTGAGTGAGTTTAGCTTTATGCCGCACTCAGCAATATTCCAGCGATATGGCGGCGGTCTGTAAATAATCGAGTCTGGACCAGACAATCCAGTGATCAACAGCATGAGCATCGATCTGCACAATTGGGAACCGATGACATGTGTCAACCAAGTCAGCAAGCCTGACCACCTGATCCCGTTAGTCGCCTCTTATGACAAGCATAATCGCCTTTGGGTTGCTGAAGACCTATTCTACCCTGGATCTTCACGGGTCAGATGTCTGCAAGCAAATGTATAGTAACCATGACAACACTAACCCTTGGATCCATCTCCAAGAGGTCTGGCGCCAACATGGCCAGTGTTTGTTCCTTCTTCCTCGTTTTGCTCTTGCTCCTCTCTCGGTTTTTCTTGTGGTCAAATCTAAACGACACAAATATGTTGCATTCAATTAGGATGATTAGGGACTATGATCATGTAACGAACGTAAAATTTGCATGATTCAAGATTCTCTGTGAATCTCTGAAACTCAGTAAGTAGTGACTGTTCACATGAATAAAATGAGTTTAGCCTATCTCCCTAAACTCATAATGTATACATGGTAAATACTGAGGCAACAGACAAACATTCTGAAATGATCCAAGGGAAACAACTCTATACATATCTTCTGGACAGAGAATCATGCAAACTGAGGACACTTTCCTGAAGTTTGTGATGTCAACATAGTCAAGATCCAGAGGTTAGTTTGGACTCTTATTCTACTTCTACAAAACAAAGTACGAGAGTGAATGGGTATGGTTTTACGTCACTTTAGCAATATTTCAGCGATATCAGAGCAAGGAAAACCAGAAATGGGTATCAGACAGTTTACCCATGTGGGGAAGAGACACTTGGTTCTTCGGTGGGACAAGCAAACACTTCAACCACTGGGTTACCCCATGGCCCCTACAAAACCTGACATGACATGTTGGCTAATGTGACATCGGGAGAACCGTCTACATGTTTATTGGACACTTAGGGGTCATCAGCATGACAAATAGTCAATACAAACAAACTATACTTCCTCAACTACAGTGTCCAAGGAGTAATGATGAATATCTTTGAAAGGCGCTATATAAATGGCCTATTATAATTATTATTATATCAGTCTGAATTTTGTAACCTTTTGCAATAATGATTAATATCATGCAATATGTGACAACCTGAACAAACAAAATGGTCAGAATGGATAGGTATTAGACCCAATATATACAGGTAAAACCATGTACCTCTACCAGGAAATCAGTCAACTGTCTCCGTAGAGAAGTTCATAGAAATAAATTAGTATTGTTTGTCAGAAATACTCCACATTAAGATCTACATTTCTAAAATAAGCATGAAAAGAATCATTAACAGCAGGGGTTAAGAAATCCCATCGCCCGACGCCCGGGACAAGTCAGTTTTCATTTCGGGTAATCAAATAATGGTATCTTACTTGTCCGTGGGCTAATAGATAATTTCCACTTATGGTTTCAAACTGCATATAAACTTGGATTTAATTTCATATCTGCTCAAAATGTAGCTATTTAAATTTGGCAATGATGATAAAGTAGAGTTATCTTTCTTTGCTATTTATCACTTTTCAATAAATAGTCCAGTAAACATTAACATCAAATACCATGTTGATTTATTCTTTTATAATTACATCATCATGATTATTTCATAAAATCAGGGCAAGTGGAAAATTGGTCAGGACAAGTTACTTTCTTAAAGTCACTTGCCCTGTGGCAAGTGGCTTTTTTAAAATAATTTTGAACCCCTGTAACAGGAAAACAATCATACCCAGAATAATCTTCACAGTTCTGGTGATAAGTTGAGTGACCATATACATTATGGTTGGTTTTAGCAATAGGAATGACAAGTCTTACAACTTCTAGAATGCCTCTCAAACAGTGGTTTCTGCAACTGTGCAATAATATCACAGATAGGTTTCACAAATTAGATTCCACTAAAGAATCAAAATAATGGAAGTACAGGTCCCATATACATATAACTATACGCAAATAATTACAAAATATTTTAGCATGTTTAGAATCTAATGAAATCCAGCCTACCTGAGTGTAGTGCTAGCAGCCATCAGCATATCGAGATGGTTCTTGTCTGCCGTCTGCCCATCCTCCGCCTCATCCTCATTCTGGCTGTCCTCCTGAGACAACACAGAATCTTCCATCTCGCTCTGACCACCATCACTTTCTTCCTGCTTCCCATCCACTTCAGATATCTTCCGCTTAGGTCCGGTCCTCAATCTGGGACCTTCCTCCGACTTTCTACCTTCCTCTGTTTCAGATAAATCATCACTCTCACTGTTGGAACGTTTCAAGGAGTTATGCAGCAGCTTGCGCACTGGAGTTGCCTGCTTTCGTTTCGACCGCCCGATATTTGACAATGATTTGTTGAGAGGGCAAAGCTGCATTCTTTGGATCCTCTGCAAGTCAGTTTGAGGGAGTAGTTTACATGGGCTAGTTCTCTGACAAATCATCTGAGCTCGTTTCCGTAAGCTTCTAGCTGCCCTCTTCGTAGGTGATTCTTTGGTATCCAGCACAAATGTTTTTGGCAGAATTGTCCTGTTTCCAACCACAACTCTCTTATTCTTGGGACTTTTTGAGACCATCTTTGGGAGGAAAGGAGAAACTGGTTTGGGAAGATCAGTCTCAGGCTTATTCAGCTTACAAGGTGATTTTGGTTTTAGTTCACGCAAGACTGTCTCAGACTGCCTCTTTGGTGGAGTCCTTTCTAACACATTTTGCCGAGCAGTCTTGGAGCTTGGGGAGTAGTATGGGCAGAGGGCTGCAATGATCTCCAGCGGAGTCACATAGGAAGTTGTGGAGGTGGATGGGGAGGAGGGTGGGGGACCTTTAGGGGCGAGTTCATCTGCAGCTGGACCAGATGCTTTGAGTGTGTTGTCATGGTTGCCCGCATCTCCAGACATACCCATTACTGTTTCTTGTTTCTGTTCTGAATTTGTTTCCAAGCTTCTCAGAGCTAGTTATTACAGAGTCTTTGGAATCTTTGTCTCCAAGTGCAGTTTGATCTGAGCTATTGATGGTTGGGTCAGTTTTCTCAGAACCTGATGTGATCTCAAACACTTGGTCTGGTACAACCTCATGAACACTGACAGCACTTGTTACTACAGCTGTCCTGTCCTCACCTGCATGTGCTGCTGTTGTGTCTCCAACACTACCTTCCTGAACATCTAATACTTCAACTTCTTTGTCATTTGCAACTCTCACGTCCTTGACTTCTCCAACTCTAACCTCCTGGCCATGTCCAGCACTCACTTCCTTGAGACGTCCACCATTCACTTCCTGCATACAGTCTTCACTAGACTGAGTCTGTGCAGTGTCAACAATCCCAGCAGAAGCAGTGGAAGTGTTGACGTCTGCTTCAGTCTGCTTCTCAGACAGATCTCCACTTGCATCAGTTTCCACACTCAAATTCACAACACTTTCCCTCTGTGATTCCTTCATGCCTGTGGCCACAGCTTGACTAACTTGGTTTGATGTTTCATTACACGAGGATGCTTCAACAACAGACCCCTCTGCCAAGACACCACATGAATCTGAAACATCTGATCTATGAATTGCAGCAGTATCAGATTGTTCACCCTTATCAACATCTGTCCCTGTCGGCTGTACAACAGCATTTTGATTATTGTTGGAGACTACACTGTCACCATGCCCTGAACTTAACCCAGGATCGCCTGGAAGATTTCTATGGGCAGCTTGATGATTATCACCCACATCGGACTCCATAACTTTCTGACACCTCACATCACAATTTTCAGCAACATCTGACTCCATAACTGTTTGACATGTTACATGAGGATCATCAGTTACATCAGACTCCATAACTGCAGGACACGTTACTGGGGAACTCTCAGTATCACCAGACTCCATAACTGTCTGGCTTCTGTCTTTGTCAATGTCCATTAAGTTCATCTGGCTTGTTTCAGAAGCCCTATTTGTTGTGTCATCAGCTGTCTGTCTTTCAATTACACCACCAACTCCACTAGTAGTCTCTACTTGACAATGATCAGCCCTTTCACCAGACGGTGTCTTCACTCTACCCACCGCATCAATGTCACTACATTCATAGGACATCCCTTCATCATCAAAGCCACTTTCCTGTTTGTCAACATTATCAGCAGGTGTGGATAAAGGACATCCTGACTTCAGCACTTCAGTTTGTTCACTAACATCACCACTCACTCTTACCATCTCAACAGACTCTGTCACACCAGCTTCCTGGTTAGACACAGTTGACCGTTCAGATTCAGAGGGCTGTTCTTGGATGTGGACTCTGTCTCGTCCTTCAGAGCCCGCAACAGACATTGTCCCCGAGTCAGGGCCACAGAACAGCTGCACTGGCTTCCCTTGGAAGTGCTATCACAGAGGATAAAATCTGAGGAGATTCACCTGGTTTAGTACCAGGAATCACTCGAATGGACCCATGCAGGGATTTTAAATCAGTTGATAAACTAGGCAAAGACAGCTGTGGGTTGGGAAACGTTGAAGATGGTGTTGATGATGTTGATACTGAGCTAGCTTGGGACGCTGCCTTGAAGGGGATGAAGATTCCCTCTGGCGTGATAATAGGTTTGCCGACTGGCATCTTTTGTGGGAAGTTATGTGCCAGGTGAGAGTATGTGTCTTCTACACAGCGTCTGAAATGGCAGATCTGAATTTGTACTTGCTTCATCAATTGGTATGTGTTGAAAGTTAAAAGGTTGGCATATTGTGGACTTTCTCTAACATATTGACAATCTTTACTGTATGAGAAATTTGACAGAGGTATAACTGAGTTCTGCAACATTCTGTTATTGGCCAAGTAATGCATACTCAGCACATTTGATAGTAACATAGAGAGAAATAGTGATATATGTAGCCTTAACATATGGTTGGTTTGCTTTAGAGTTAGTGAGTGAGTTGGATTTCACGTCACTTTTAGCAATATTCCAGCAATATCACGACAGAGGACACCAGAAATGGGCTTCACACACTGTTCCCATATTGAGAAACGAACCTGTGCCTTCGGCGTGACAAGCGAACGCTTTAACCACTAGGCTACGCCACCACCCCGGTTTACTTTAGACAAATGATCACTGGCAAATAATAATGCAATAAAACAATAGTGAGTGAGTGAGTGAGTTAAAATTTAACGTCACATCGGCAATATTTCAGCCATATCGTGACGAGAACAATTAATTTTATGCATAATAAGCAATGGCAAACTATAAAAACCTGTCAACGAAGGACAGTAAAATAACTAGATTATCACAGATTCGAATTTAAAACTAGCAATCAAATCTAAAACAGTCTAACTATAGGACAATACAAGGTAAAAACAACAAAACAATACCCCATTCTACAAAGCAATCTTAGCACTAAAGGTAACATCCATACTTTAACAGCGGCTTACAATCATCATAGATGGCTTTTTGGAACAGGCACCAGAACAATTTTGCTACATGAACCAGTGAAACAATTTTTCTCAACAGTTTCCTAACAAGGTGGAAGTCATTTGTGCTACTTTCACCAACAAAGGAATTGAACTGAAACACCTTACCTCTTTGTGCCACTGTCTCCATCCTCGTTATCAGCAGGTGAAACTGGTGCCGAGTGGGGTTTCTTCTTGCTTGGGGACCATGTTACATCCACCTAACAGACACAACACTTCAAAACTGAGGACCACATACATATTTTGTAGGAGTGAAACATATCACACAGCAGTAAGTATACTAGCATATTTAAATCCTAGTCTTCTGAACTTTGAGCACTGAACCTGTAACTTAGTTAAAGCTAAAGATTATTATCCTCTAACATTTACCTCAAGTTGATTGCTAACTTCCACCAAATCCAAAGGTGTACTCAGACTTGACGACCTCTTCCTCTCACTGCTCTTCTTCTGTTTCTTCTGTCCCTTCAGTGCACGTGCTGCCTCTTTCGCCCGTTTTTTCTAAAATACATAGAAAATAACACTTCCATTCATAGTATATAATTAATATGTTGATAGTAACAAGTTAAAATCCTACCTGAAAACATGTTCAGTCATTATTGCCATATTAGAATTTAAAGTGTTTTCCTCAATGCTGACTTTCTAAAACCATGCAACACAAAACTAGATGCACAAAATCTAAACCCAATCCACGTCATTGCTGGAACAATAACACACAGTTGCTATGCAGTTAATACCTTGGCCCATATTGGTAGAATACTGTCATCCTGGTCTCGTAAAGCCACCATTTGGTCTGGGGAGAAGGCTTCCACTACCAGAGTCTTTGGCAACATATTCTTGTTCTGCCGGAAATACTGTAAGAGGAGAAAATTTGATTACAACAAGTTATATTGTCATTATTGGTTTCACATTGCATTAAAAGTTAATAAAACATGCTAACATATAATAAAACAACTGCAAATAGTTTATTCATCCAAGGGGAGACAACTCTACCTTGATTGGATTATCTGGGGACCTCTGGCTGGACATATTCTTGATTCGTAAGTTGATCTGCTTCAGGGTTTTGGCAGGTAACAAGTACTTCTGAATGAGACTGCGAGGGTTCTTCAGTCCATGGAACTGCTCCAGACCCAGGGCTATCAAGCTGGAGAAGCAGAAAGATCTTGTCAATCAATTTGGGCTTAAATTGACTGACTGACTGAGCTTGGTTTTACACCGCTGTTAGCAATATTCCAGCAACATCACGTCGGGGGACACCAGAAATGGGCTTCACACAATGTACCCATGTGGGGATTCAAACCCGGGTCTTCGGCGTGACGAGTCAACGCTTTAACCACTAGGCTACCTCACGGTCCCGGGCTTAAATTGAGTACAAGAGTTAAAGTAGTACCTTTTCTTTCTTTTGGGGGTTGTGGGGGTGTGTGTTTTTTTTTTAATCAGAATAGTTAAGAGAGTGTACATATCATCATGACTAGTCACACAAATTGTTAAGTAAGTGAATGAAATGATTTGGACTTAAAATTGCATGACCCAGAATGGAGCATGTAAGCTTAACATAGTAATGTCAATGAGAATAAGAGTAGTGCTGAGTTCCAAGGCAACTAGTAGATCCTGGTACAACAAAGGGATTAACTCGAGAAACAGATTTGGGTTCAGCTATCATGATCATCAAAGTCCAAAACATGTCCAACAACAAACATTTTACAGAGTAAACTTATCAAAGACAACATATCCATACTTGTCCTCCCCGCTGGTGAAGGTAAGACGGCTGTCTCTGGCTTCTTCCAGCGACAATAACCGCCGACAAGGCAGCAACTGAGGGTAGAGGAACACTGGGCTGGACCAGAACACCTCAATCTGAGATGGCAGTAATGGGTGCTTTGTAGACGAGCTTCCTGATGATACAAACACAGGGCTAATTACAGGTTTGCAACAAACCAGAACGAAATACAAAACGAATTACAAATTACTTTGGAAGATTTGTGTGTTTGTTTGGTGTTGAACACCGCATTCAGTATTAGCTAGCTGTATGGCGGCTAGTGGTGGTCCGATTAATTGAAATAATCGAAGATTGGTCGCAATGACTAAAATGTTTTCTCATAATCGAACAAAACAATTTTGGAGCACTTGTTTGCATTAACAATGTTTTTCACAAGGTTGGTTTTGTCTGTTACATTTCATAAGCACTACAAGCTCGTTCCAAGTCAGGATTGAGTTTATCTTAAAGACTCCAGGAAATTTTTGCTCCTAACATACCAGTCATCCTTTGTAAAATTCGCAAATGCATTTTGTACAATTTGCAAAAAACTCGAAAGAACTACGTTTTTTCTGTATTTTTTGTGCATTAACAAACATAACCAGGAAAATCTGATAAATGACGCTTACCAATTATTTGATTTGATTGATCGGTTGAAATGAACCAATCATCAATTATGAGATTTAAACCAATTCCCAACAATAATGGCGGCAGTCTGTAAAGGAACAAGGCTGGACCAATCAATCCAGTGATCAACAGCATGAGCACTGATCTATGCAATTTGCATAAGAGCATGTCCATTTGCATTGCCATTGGTTATGCATTGCATAACAAAGTCAACGAGCATGGCCACCCGATGCCACAATCCTGTTTAGTTGCCTCTTACGACAAGCATTGGTTGCTGAAGACCAAGTGGAACCTATATTTTAACGGGTTTACTTTTCACGAAGCTGACATGAGTGGAACACATGGTTTCACTAATAGTTTACCTTTCTTTCTGGCAATCTTCTTGCCTCCATCCACCGAGTCATAGTCAGAGTCTGTGGCATTGCTGTTGGTGTCTTCCACAGAGTAGGAGGAAGCATCTTCATTCTCCTGGATCAGGTTCCAGGAGGTGTCCTCCCCGACCACATCTATAGCCTGCTCCAGGTTACATACGTTGTAGGACGACAGGTCACGTGCCATCGACACACAGCGGAAGATGTCAAGCTCCCTCTACAATTTGACATAAGGTTAGTGAGTGTTATTTTAATAAGCACTACACCATATCACAGACATCATGATGGCCTGCACATAATTTTGTACATGACGTGCAGGGGTTGGGGGTGGAGGGGGGGTCCACTTACTTTGTACATAAATTTTAGGGGGTGGGGTCATTCACATTGTACATGCTTCTCCATAAAAATCATCATCATCCTCATCCCCCCAAGCCATAACTTATGGGCTGTCCCTTATGCATATAGTGTGGTGTGAAATCTCAGCCTGTATTGATTCATGTCTTAGATGCTAAGTGAAAACCTAGAAACACAATAAGAGCTAACCACACTTCAAAATCTATGACGAAAGTTTTCTAGCATGCCAAGGGAGGTAACTCTGCATATCAGACAATTGGGCCAGTTGTTTCCCTCTGAGCCTCACTGCCAGACATGTGGACACATGGAACTAGTTCCTACCAATAGTTGTCTGCATGAGCTGGTCAGGGACTCGAAGTCCTCGCTACCCTTACAGAGGAAGAAGAGCTGTGTCGTCAGTTGGACGTGCTGCAACAGAAATGTTTGTTACTTTGTGAGTTCAACACTTCAATACTTAACAGCATTCCTAGAGTTCACATCAGCATGGCAGCATTAGACATCATTATTTCCAGGAGTAAATAAAAGTAAATAGAAGCATGTAAACACTACCTATGCAAAACAATGTCGTTTTCCCATATGCAGTGATAAGTACCACAACATAATTTCATCAATATCAATATAAACATACTCTTGACAAGTAGGAGATGGTGAGGAGGCGCATTACGTTGTGTTCAACTAACGTGCATGCAGCTGCTAGTACTAGTCTGGACTGCTGATAATTCTGTAGTGCTAGTCCACAGAGATACCATGCTGCAGTGTGCTGTATCCCCTTTGTTTATCCCAGGCAGGATAACAACAAGTGTTTGCCAATATGTCCCCCGCCGCTAAAGAAGATTGAAATACTTTTAACATATTACTGCTTTTAATTTTTTGGTCACATACAAGATGCCTGAAATGACTGGTGTCTGCATAATCACCCAAATTTGTCTGTCACCAAATTTGAAGACATTGGGTACACCAATTCATGAGATATTGCGTTAACAAGAGTTTGAAAAGTGGTCAAAGTGTCATGGTGACCTTGAAAATAAGGCCAAGGTCACCAAAATCGACAGGTGTCTGCATAATCCCCCAATGTAGGGTGTAACCAAATTTGAAGACATTGGGTGCAACAGTTCATGATATATCGCGATAACAAAATCGGGACGTATGTACATTGCTGAATACATAGTCCAACAAGTACCATCTTGTAACACTTTCTGGTATGATACAGCCAGTGATCTTTCTGCTCTCCCAACCAACACTCTATCAACTAGACTACAAAGATGGTCAAAAGATGGCAAACTTTCATTTATGAGAAGCAAATGGATATGGTAAGTTCTGATGTTATGGTCACTTTTGGTTGTACAACATCTTCAACTTGTGGACTCAGCTTTATCAGTAACAAGAATACATGGAAAGTGACTCTTTTTTTCAAAATTCATGTCCTCACATTGTCAACTACAAAAGCAAACAGACAAACCATTCCTTTAATGTGAACATAGTTTACCTTTCGCATTTGTTCCTCGATGAGTAGTTTCTCCTCTGTAGTGGTGATGAGAGCATTCTCCTCCAGCTCTGCCCGATGAATACTGGTCATGGGAGCTTTAACTGGAGACTTTTTGGCCTTGACGGTTGGCTTTCTGGAACAGATAACACCCAATAATCTCATACATACCAAGTGGAAATACAGCAATGCCATGACAATACCCATTCACATAGATTCACCACAGCAGCAAGATATCCTTGTGCCAGTTTCTTGTTGGTTGTTTAACACCACGTTCTGAAATATTCCAGATGTACAATGGTAGCCTGCAAATATTCCAGTGAGTGAGTGAGTTTAGTTTTATGCCGCACTCAGCAATATTCCAGCTATATGGAGGCGGTCTGTAAACAATCGAGTCTGGACCAGACATTCCAGTGATCAATAGCAAGGGCATCGATCTGCGAAATTGGGATATCTGCTGACATGTGTCAACCAAATCAGCCCAGCCTGACCAAATCTTCCAGGATCCCGTTAGGGTAGCCTAGTCTTTAAAGACAACAACCAGGTTCAATTACTGAAGATCAATTCTAACCCAGACCTTCACTGGTCAAATCTTCCAGGACTAGCAGATAGTCCAGCGACTGATATAAGGAGCACCGATCTACACAAAAGGGACATGAAGACATGCAAGTGATCAAGTCTGACCACCCAATCCGTATAGTCACCTCTTACAGACAGCAGTGTTTGCTGGGGACTTATTTTGTTTGACCTGGTATGTACCACAGATCTACCAGGAGAATGTAGGTACATACTGTGGCAGTGTTTCCTCCAAATACATAGACTTATCCTCTTCCTCCTGCTCTGGGAACAGTTCATCAAGTTCATCTATCAGCTGGTTCAGTTCCTTCTCTGAAACAGACAGGGAGAGTTAGGCCAACCAAGACTTGGTGAAGGCAGTTTCACACCTAGGTCAACAGTATTTGATATACAGTGCACCCTGGTTATAATGCCCCTGGTTACAATGCCACCCTGGATAGAATGCCATGTTTTTGCCAAAACAGATTTCCTGCTGTTATAATATCCAGGTTGCAATGCCACCAAATTGCCAATGATAGTTTAGTTTAAGCGCTTTTAGCAATGCCATCTGCCAATGTCAAAGTCACTTTGTACCAATGGTTATAAATGCCAATGGCTGCATGTATATTACAAACACTAATCAGACCGTGGAGGATGCAAAAGTCCAGCTTAGCGTCATCTTCAACATTTTTCAAAGGTGTCTGCATAAAGCATGAGCAGGGCCCAAAACAATACAGTTATTGTACAACTTTGATTAAACCCACAAGGATAGATATGTCATACTCAGGAAGGTAAGCTAGGAGATTCAGAGGCAGTGGTTTAACGGTTGATGCCATCACAGGAGGGCTGGGACGGGTACCCCGGATACCCGGGACGAGTGGGTAATGAACTGGACCCGGGTACCCATGTCAATACCCAGACCTGTTATGATCATGTGCCTAATAGACCAAATAATGTAATATGTTATTCTTTCATGATTAAAAGGTTGTATTGTCTTTGAAGATTTAGACATAATTTACAGTCACCTTTTTGATGGTTAACATATTGAAAAACTCTAAATTGTAGCCTCCGAGCTAAAGAATATATTGCCATTTCTTACAAATTTGATATCAGGAAATAGTGAGTGAGTGAGTTTAGCTTTACACCGCACTCAGCAATATTCCAGCTATATGGCAGCGGTCTGGAAATAATCGAGTCTGGACCAGACAATCCAGTGATCAACAGCATGAGCATCGATCTGCACAATTGGGAACCGATGACATGTCAACCAAGTCAGCAAGCCTGACCAGCCGATCCCATTAGTCACCTCTTACAACAAGCATGGGTTGCGAAGATCAATATTCTAACAATACCTTCCTTCCGCGGGCAGATATCAGGAAATAACATAACGGGTATCAGGGTAGGGTAAGGTAATAGGGATGAGGTACCTAGGTAGAAAATTTGAACCCGTCCCAGCCCTACATCACAGTAAACTGTTGTGCACTCTATCTCCTCCATTAATCCTTGATCAGTGACGCCAGTGGATAACTGCGTTACCAGCCATCAAGCTCACATGTATGTGTCTGGGTCATGCTTCAATAAACATGGGAGATTTCAGATTAAAATGATGTGCCTTATATGAATTCTTTGTCCTTACTTGAAACCCTAAAAGGTCGGTCAAATCTGAAATCTTCCTCCACTTCAACAATTTTTTCAGCTTCCTCCAAGAAATTGAATTCAGGATCATTTGCCTCATCGTCAGCTGGCTGATCAACAGGCTCCGCTAAAACAAAGTATAGCGATCATTCAATGTCTGCTAACTGAAGTGAACATGGAAAATCAAAATCAGCATTCAAACTGGCTTTCCGCAAGGAAATAAAACACTGTCTTGCCCGATACTGTGATTGACCTTTTGTCAAAAGTGAGAGATTTCGTTGCTGGAGTGAGTGAGTGAGTTTGGTTTTACGCCCCTTTTAGCAATATTCCAGCAATATCGCGGCGGGGGACACCAGAAATGGGCTTAACACATTGTACCCATCGTTGCTGGAGGGTACTGGTACAGCACAGACATGATCGTTGAAAATTTTGGATTCAAATCTAGGACAGAGCAAAGGAAGGTAACTCTGCCCAGGAACTGCCATTAGTGTGTCACAGCTGCCTGACCCCTGTCAAATACAGGTTTTCATGAGGGAGTGAATTAGACTTTGTTTCAGTCACTTTATTCCAGCAATGGGACACGTGTAAAGGGCATCACACAAAGTACATGTGGGGACTTAAACTCAGGCCTTTGGTGAGATGACAAACACTTTATCCACTCAGCTACCCCAATACAATCCTTCCCCAACTCCCCCCAAAACACAACAAACAGAAACATTACATGAGAACTTATGTATAATTATGTATAAATGCTTCAAAAGTCCCTATGAAACTCACAGTCTGGCTTGACGAGGGACCGGAGGAACTCCTGCCATTCTGAGTCATCACATTCCGTGTCATACATATCTGGAGTGATGTCTGGTGCGACAAACGCTTCCTCTATGGCGGTCAAAGATGTGTCAGTCAAGGGCAGTTTGGATCTTGTTCGTCGAGCTATTATATCTGAATGTGTACTCTGGAATAAACATTTTTACAAGAGTTTTACAAGAGTCCAATGAAGGACATGATTCAGGTAGTTTACAGGGGATGGTGACTTGTTTTCTGATTTTGTTTATATTTAAAGGAGTTCGATTAAAGGAACCTGATTTGACTTGCTCTAGGTGCATGTTGACATGGAAGCAAAGTTGCTCCAGACAAAACCAGCTTGCACCCTATCTCACAAACTTATCAGAGTTTAATAAACAGGCCCATCTGCTTCCTGTGTAACGGTAGTTGTGTGTGTAACACACAACAGTACAAGGACAAAATTCTACACATGATACTAAAGGAATTTAGGAGATTGGTCATCTTTGGAACCCAAAATTCATTTAATAGGACTAACTATATATCTGCATGCACTTTATTTTAAATACAGTCAACAGTTGTGTGCTGGACAGATAAACTCATGACAGGTGACTACCATCTAGAACATAACAATTTTCCATATAACACAAATGGTTATGTGACTGACTGACTGAGTTTTAGTTTTACGCCGCTTTTAGCAATATTCCAGCAATATCACGGCGGGGGACTCGAGAAATGGGCTTCACACATTGTGCCCATGTGGGGAATCGAACCCGGGTCTTCGGCGTGCCGAGCCAACGCTTTAACCACTAGGCTACCCCACCGCCCCCAAAAGGTTATGTGATACTATAAATGAGTGAGCGGGTGAGTTTGGAAATTTTAATATAAATTGTATATTTATATACTTATCCTACCTCATGATTTGCACTTCTCTCTCTTGCTTCGACGCTAAGTAGAACGAATGAGAACTTTTCCTGTAGGCCTCTCTTGTCCATACGCCCGTGTTCCCGAGGCTGCTCTCTTTATAGGACAGGTCCCTAGTCCTTGGATAAGCGTGCAGCACGTTCCCTTGTCTACCTACGTGACTACCTCAGAGTGATCATTCTCTTCTTGAAGCCAATGACAGTTATACGTAACCGTCTGAGTAGAGGGGAGGCTGGGTGTGCTAAGGTACTTAGGAGCTTTAACGCTACGAAATCCATAAGGAACTCGGGAAGGACGTGATTGCTCCGTGGAGTAGAGGTCAGCAAGCGAGATTGTCGAACACTTCTACATCCGTAGGGAGCAACGACAAGGTAGGCCCATAACTACCAAGGTCACTACGTTCGATGGTTAGTTCGAACCCATTCATTTACTAAGCACAATTGCTCCCAGGGACCGGGACTCCTGAGTAATGTAGTGTTCAGTCACTACCTTCACGAAAGTGAAAGGACGCAGCTTAGCAAGTGTGATCAGTCGCATTACCACGATTTCCAAGGTACCCCCGTAATAAAAGTCTAATAACTAGTATCGGGCCAGCCCCTGTTTCGAAACAACCCCCACAGACACCGTCCCGAGGAGGGTGAAAGGGTAATTGAATCGGAAAACTCACAATTTTAACGTTCAGTACCACAACATCATCTTATGACTTCCACTACTTACCACAGTAAGATCACATAGATGGGTATAGGTACTTAAGAGCATGACGCTACGAAGTGTAACACTTCGGGAATGACTCACTTCACTGATGTTATTACTCCACAGAGCAGACGACAGTAAGTGAGGTGGCGACTCTCCAGAGTCTCAAATGAAATTGAGAGAAGAAATCGAGGTCCCGGAAGAATCGAAGACACAAATCAGAAATAAAATTCAGAATTTTATTCAGATTGTACACAAAGCAGCAACGATCGCAATTGGTGATCATCTGCGCTGAAGCTGATGGTTGTACCGAGTGGCAAACAGGTCTACATCTGGTCATGATAACAGGTAGATCTTAGATTGGAATATCAGAGGCAGTTGTTTCCACTCCGTGAGTGACGGGTGTTTGGGACGTGACAGGGCATCGGCAATAACATTGCTCATCCTGGGAATGTGTCAGGTTCTGGCCACTGTGTTGAGTGAATCGATCAGATGATAAATTCAAAACATCAACTGAAGCAGAACTGCTGATCCTGTCGACCCCTGATGGAATATGTATCAAACTACCATCGAAATGCCTGATTGAATCAGTATATGAGAGGACCGTAGTTCAACTGCCCAATGCCGAACGGATCCTGATGACCACTGGGCCACTTAAACACAGCTCGCCGATATAGTTCTCGAATCCAACGCACACCCATCGACAATGCAGGTAGCTTGTTATAGGATTGGGTACCTGAGTAAAAGCCAAGAACTCGCCACATATGCCAAACAGCAGGACCTCCATTGGTATCAATGACATGACCTTTGAAAGTAAATCGAAGATACTTCCAATAGTCTGGATGTATCCGGATGTGAAGGTAGGTGTCTCGCAGGTCAAGGGAAATGAGAGATGTAACAACTTTTGCCTCTGACAAAGAGATATCTCCTGAGATAGGAACATTCAATTAGTCCAGCTACCATGCCAGTACTAATGGAGTGCTGAATGTAGTAGGTTCGGCGCATGGAGATTGTCAGTCAATCTACAGGAATGTTCTCATTGTAAACGGTCCAACCATGAAGAAATTTGTATGATCGGGCGCATGGAACCTCAGGAATGTTTTGGTTGGCGAACAAAATGATGGTTCGCCAGGGTTCGCCAGTGAGTGATAAAGGTAGTAGATCGCTGCCTGGTGACAGTCCGACATAATTGCAGTGACCTCTGAACTCAGTGCTTGAGCTAGTGTAGAAAACCGCTGTAACCCAAGCCAAAGTCAAACCGTTCATGGGTGTTTCTGTCTGTCACCCTCGATAAGCAGTCTCTCTCTCGACTGGCTGACGAAATCCTGACACAATCATTCTTACCGGGAATGGCACCGTTCATTGTTACTAGCCTTTGAAGGCTGGACTTGATATCTGACTCGTGGGACCAAGACAAGTCTGCCAGGGCACTTCATAGTCACTCTAATCATCAAAATTCCGGTAAACAAACAGTAGTCTGCCATTTGCAAACGTTACCCACGATGCGACAAAAATCCGGACAACACAGTCTTCGGTTAACCGGGCGAGTCACAACCCATAAATTCTGGGCTGCGCTATGCTGACTACTTGACAAGACATCGCTGCTGGTACCATGCACAAAAACTTGACCCAAAACGCAGGGTGCTGAAGATGACGAACCATCTGCATTGATTGCACCCAGCAATACACAGAAACGCCGTTACGAGTAGTCTGTAGTAACAAGACTCAGTGAAGCGTCGTAAAGTATTCCTGGCTAGCAAGCTTATCTAGTAGTGCCCTATCGGGTGGTCGTAGTGCTGATATCTACGCCGAAGATAGATTCTTTGAACCGAATCATTCATCAAAGGTAAAGATCGGATGGTAGATTGAATCTGGAATGAGATGAGTCCAGGTCACAGAGGAATCTTGAGAACTGGGACCATCAGGCCGTCAAGTGCCGAGCGTAATATGTCTAGATGACTGCGCTACTGACATCAAATGTGAATCGATTCGGCATGGTGAAGCACATAGCTACTACCTCTGTTCAACCAGCAGAAAAAGGGTACCAGGTGGGATAAGTTATGTGACTAAAAACTTTAAACGCCTCTCAAGCCGTAAGGTAAACTGGATAAACAAATCAGCTTGTTGTGCTTAGAGCTTGTCACTCCATGGTGAGGAATCTAGCGCCTCACAGATGCCCTGAAAACTAGGATTGTGTTGAAAACTAGCAGAGTTCGAAAAATTTGGCCGTATTTAGATGCAAGTTCACAATGCTCGTTGAGGATGTTAAAAACCAGTGTTGACAAGTCCCGATCCTTCATGTTGAATGAAATAAAGAAAACATCTGGTATTTTCCTCTAGGTAGCTGTAGGTGGTCGGCGAACCAAGTGATTATGTGTGTCAAATCAACCAAAGCCATTCCTGCATCTTATAGGCGACTGGCATAGCCCAAACCATGAAAACAAAGACGAAGTTCTATGTGGGTTAAGTGTCTTGGGAGGCATCCCAGACACAATTTGCATAGGCTCTGACGAACCAATAGGCTGGTAAGATCGCCCGTGTTGGAAATAACACGAAGTGGTGAATCGGCAATTCGTGAATCAACTCAATTGGTAGGCAAGGTCCGAGGAACAGATTATTGACAAATGCTGACAGTTCGATGAATGCTGATGAAATTTAACCAAACCTGAAGAGGTTTTCAATTCTTCAAGAGAGTCGTCCTTGGGGTACATATTATGCATTTTCCGCTGAAAATGTCCTGTGACAGTTGTATCAATGTTTTTGAATAAAAAGATTGAACAATAAATAAACTCTTTTATTTATTATAATGGTCCCTGCCTCACGGAGTTACCTCCCTTAGCGCATGCCACTAACTGGGTAGGCTCCTAGACCCGTGATCATCATTCCTTCTGCTGAATATATCAGTGAACAGAATTATGGGAGGCGGGAGGCCCTACCCTCAAGGATCTACTCTCTTCAAAGAATTGAAAACCTCTTCAGGTTTGGTTAATTCTTCTTCATAGAGATCGCCCTTGGGGTACATATTATGCATAAACACAGACTCCCAAAGACCGGAGGCCAGGGAGGAGGGAATTCTGTCCAAGCACACACAAATATAGCGATCGTGATCATGGAAAAATTTGAACAGACGCCATAACACTCACCTGTCACTTGTCCCAGTTTCGCTTCCGCACAGAGGCATTATGGGAGGGGAACTGACAGGGAGGAATTGTACTCAAAGATCTACCTCCATTTAGCATAATGAGACAACGCATTATAGTGTGAATGTCAATAAAGCCCCACCCACGGCGTGTCTATTAGTGAGCACCGTGAGGGAAATGCAATACCGCCACAATCGACAAATAACTCCTAAGAGAATCGAAGGGGGTACATGTTCTCTGAGTGAGCTCACAGTAGCAGACATGTCAATAATACAAATATTGTACAGTAGCCGCCAAAACAGACCAATAAACCAAGACTCACTCGTCAGGGTGGCAGGACACTGTCCACTGGAGAGAACAGTACGGCCAAAGCTCGCACGATTACGGAATGCGATCGAGCTGATAATGCCGTGAT